TCATTTTATAGAGTTGTTATAAGAATTAAATAGTTAATACTGATTAGCTAGCCTGAGGCTGAGGCAGGAGGATTAATAGTTTGAGGTCAGCCTGGGCTACATAGGGAGGCTTCAAAAAGGGCCGGAGGTACAGTTCAGTGGAAGATACAGATGTCTGAGCGCAGACCCCAGTATTGCCCCAACAACAGCAGAATTAGTGCTGTTCGATGTTTACTAAGTGCTTACGACAGTACTTGGTGTTACGTTCATTAGATTTGGTAAGTAAAATCATATACAATTAGTACTTTCAAAACATGAATATGTTTTCCAAGTTAGTTTCATGACAACGTAGAAATAAATTCTCAGAAGTGGAAGTATGGCAGAAGTGGTAGAGCGCTAGCTATGAGCAGCAAAAAGCCAACAAAGAGTGTGAGGCCCTGACTGAATTCAAGCCCCAGTACTAGCACTTCAAGTCTTCACAAGCATTGAAAATGATGATTAAGATCTGCCTAGGCTGGGAAGGTGGCTCAGTGGTAGACTGCTTGCCTAGCATGCATGAAGCCCTGGGTTCCATTCCTCAGTACCACATACTCAGAAAAAGCTGGAAGTGGTGCTGTGGTTCAGGTGTTAGAGCAAAAGAAGCTCAGGGACAGCGCCCAGGCCCTGAGTTCAAGCCCCATGACTCAGGGGTGGGGTGGTGAGCTGACGCTAGCCAAGTAGCACATATGTCTATTTCTGTAAAGCAGTGACCCTGCACAATCCGTATTTTGGTAGGAGAGAATCAGTGTTTTCCTCCTCTGCAGCATGATCTTACTTCCTACAAGTACTTTGTAATGTCTTGCTACACTCAAGGACTTGATTGAGTAATTGGAGTTGTTGCAAATTGTCAGTGTCTGTCAATAATTCATGTGTGGAATAATGATGAACAAAGAGGTGAGTGAATGCCAGAGAGCCCAGAGACTCCACTGCGGCCTCTCTCGTTTCCTCAGGGTGCCACACAAGAATGCAGGCGCTCACCGTGCTAGAAGGGTCTTCAAGGGTAGCTCAACCACTGCCCTTCCCCCCTTTTTAACGTTGTTTTTCGTTTTTCCATATAGCCCACACAGGTTCTGAACTTGATTTTCCTATCTCATCCTCTCAAGCGCTGGGACTGCTGGCTTGTCCCACCCTGCCTGGCTAGCTTGTCTTTCTTTGTTTTATTTTTTTGTGTTTTATTATTTTTCTGCCCTCTGATTTAGCTTAGTTCATTGCTACAACTGCTAAAAGGATTGTGAAAAACTGATAACACATCAGATTGTGTCCCATAAATTGTGTGTAAGAAATTAGGAAGCTTTTTGTGTAAGTTTGAGAAAAAGCTCATTACCTGAAAAGTTGAGCTACCTTTCCTAGCAGCTTCATGGTGCGATAGGACCACTACTAGAATGAACGGAGGTATAATCTCACTGAGGCCTCTCTCTTGAGGTTGGTCTTATTACCACATATAGTAATTAAATTACTATGAAAATCCTTATACAGAGACCTGCAGAAAACCAACCATTATTGAATCATGTGACCATGGAATTGTTTCCTGTTGCATTGTCAAGACTGGTTGTGTCAGTGACTCATTCCTGTAATCCAGCTGAGATCCAGAGGGTTGAAGTTTGAAGCCAGCCCAGGCAGAAAAGTCCTTGAGAGTACACCTCTAAAGCCACAGAGAAGAGGGCAGTAGACACTCAAGATGGCTCTAATAAAAATGATAATACTCTGTGTGCACGTGGCTCACACCTGTAATCCTAGCTAGTCAGGAAGCTGAGATCTGAGGGTCACAGCTTGAAGCCTTAGGAAAGTCCTAAGACTAGCTCCAATGAATACCAGGAAATCAGAAGTGGCTCTGTGACTCAAAAATGCCAGAGATCTAAACTTGAGTGAAAAAGCTCAAGGACAGCAACCAGGCCCTGAGTTCAAGCCCCAAGACCAAGACTAACAACAACAACAAAAGCCGAGCCTGATACCAAGTATTAGTAAGGAAGAGAAGTTGGAGCCTTTATACAATATTGTGGGGAGTACAAGATGGTGCAGTCACTGGATACATCTGTCAATTCCTCAGAAAGTGAAACGTAAGACTTACAATGTTTCCTGGTTGTTTGGGTGTGTGTGTGTGTGTGTGTGTGTGTTTGGGTGTGTGTGTGTGTGTGTCCGTATTCAGTAGAAATGGAAATATCATTTAAAACTTGTATATAAATGTTCATTGATAGCATTATTCAGAATAGCCCTGTGAGAAAAACTTTTAAAATTTAATTTTATTGCCAAGGTGATACATAGAAAGAAGGGTTACAGTTAATATGTAAGGTAATGAGTCCATTTCTTGTTGAACATTGTTACCCCCTAAAAGCTGTCTTTTCTGTCCAAGTGGATTGCTTAAAAGTTTCTGCTTTGTCTGGGGCTTGGCTCTTGTTGATTATTCTGCTGAGACTGTAGGGTGATAAAGAGGAACTGCTTTGGGGTTAGGAAGGCTTTTTGAAATGTAAGGGTTTTTGTCTTAACGGGATTTAAGATCTACCTCAGAAATAGCAGAGGGTGTGGGTGTTTTGAGATCACTTATCTACTGTTAATCTTATATATTTCAGTGTTTTAATGGTCACCTTATGTAAATACTTACCCAATTCAAACTAGCAGATTGTGAACCTTGAGCTCTGTCAATTTGCTTTAGCTATAAATAAGGGAGCCAGCCGGGCGGTGGCTCAAGCCTGTAATCCTAGCTACTCTGGAGGCAGAGATGTGTGGATCTGGTTCAAAGCCAGCCCCAGCAGGAAAGTCCTGAGACTCTTATCTCCAATAAAACCACTAGAAAACTGGAAGTGGTGCTGTGGCTCAAGTGGTAGAGCACTCTCCTTGAGCTGAAGAGTACAGGGACTGCGCCCAAGCCGAGTTCAAGCCCCATGACCGACCCCCGACCCCCCCCCCCCCCCCCCAAAAAAAAAAAGGAGCAAAATTCCTGCTCTGTGCACTTGTTTGCCAGATTTCTTGCTGCTGGTGCACTCTTATGCTGAAGAAGGTTTTGCCTTGGTGAGACAATCTTCCAACCCTCCCTCTCTCTCTCCCTCCCTCCCTCCTTCCTTCCTTCTTTCCATTCCTCCCTCCTTCCCTCCCTTCCTCTTTTTTTTTATTGTAAAGGTGATGTACAGAGGGGTTACAGTTACATACGTAAGCTGAACAAGCATATTTCTTTTTGAAAGTGTAACCCCCTCCATCATTTTTTCCTTGCGCCCCCCCCCTTGTACAGTTCACGTCCAGCAAGTGTCTAATGAGTATGAGTGTTGCATTGGCTCACCCGTTGTCCCATCATTTCTGTGATTCCCCTTTCCTCTGCAAATCAGATAAACTTACATTTAAGACAAAGCGTACAGAAATCAAAACCAGTGACAAGGCAAAAAACAAAGGAAAAAAGAAAGAAAAAGAACTGCAGAGAGTACATTACAAAACCCTCTTGTTTACATTTCTTGGAGTTCATTTTTTTTTTTTTTTGTCTGTTCTGAGGCTTGAACTCTGGGCCTGAGTGCTGTCCCTCAGCTCTTCAGCCCAAAGCTACAGTGCCACTTCCGGTTTTCTGATGGTTTATTGGAGATAAGAGTTTCTCAGAGTTTCCTGCCCGGGCTGGCTTTGAGCCATGATCATCAGATCTCAGCCCCCTGAGTAGCTAGGATTACAGGGGTGAGCCACCGGCGCCCGGCTTGGAGTTCATGTTGATTAGCTTCATTTTATATGGTCATATATACCCAGCTATTGAACAATTGTGATCCTCTGCTGAGAATATCATAGACATATTCTAGTTATTACAAACAAGGGAAACCATGCAGCCTGTGTTTCTTTAGGTCTGGCTTGGTTTGTTAAATATAATTTTTTCTAAGTCTTTCCATTACCTTACAAATGGGGCAATGCCATTCTTTCTGATGGAAGCATAGAATTCCATTATGTATCTATGCCACATTTTCTTTCTTTTTTTTTTTTTTGGGGTCCTGTCATGGGGCCTGAACTCTGGGCCTGGGCGCTGTCCCTCAGCTCTTCAGCTCAAGGCTAGCGCTCTACCACTTAAGCCACAGTGCCACTTCCAGCTTTTTTTCTTTTTTCTTATGTGGTGCTGAGGAATTGAACCCAGGGCCTCATGCATGCAAGGCAAGCACTCTACCACTGAGCCACCTTCCCAGACCCATGCCACAATTTCTTGATCCATTGTAGGGACATCTGGGTTGGTTCCTTATTTTGGCAATGTAGATAATGTTGCAAGGAATGCTGTAGTACTGGTAGCTTTACTGTGGCCTTGTTTGTGGCCAGTTGGGTAAATGTCTACAATCCTTTTTGTGGCTATCAATGTGATTAGTGGAGAGCACATTTATAAGAGCCTCAAATGGAAACAATTCAGATGTCCGCCAAGTAGCAAAAAGGTAAAGTAAAAGTGGTATATCCATATGTAAAATGGTGTACAGCCATAAAATAATACCTAGGGTAACCTGTAATCACAAATCTAGTAAGTGAACACTCAAGAAAAAAACGGAGCACCTAGCTATAAAATGTTCTATATATGATATCTAATTACTTGGGAAAGGATAGTTTTTGTTTTTTTGGTCAGTCATGGCGCTTGAACTCTGAGCTTGAATGCTGTCCCTCAACTCTTCAGCTCAAGGTGAGCACTCTACCACTTGAGCCAAGGCACAACTTCTGGTTTTCTGGTGGTTACTTGGAGATAAGAGTCTCACAGACTTTTCTGTTCAGGCTGGCTTTGAACCGCGATCCTCAGATCTCAGCTTCCAGAACAGTTAGGGTTACAGGTGTGACCAGCCTGAAATATTGAATGCTAATCTTAAGACATTGAGATTGGAAGCAAAGATAAAATAACTGAGAATTTGATTAGATAAAATAACTGAGAATTTGCTTACTGAGCTGATTATAAATGTACCACTGATGCTAACGTTGTGCTAGAAAGTTATGCAGTGTTATAACTACACACATTGGCTAATCTAACTTGTTATGTTTTGTTTGTTTAGTCTGGCCAGTTCAGTGAAGATATGATACCCACAGTGGGTTTCAACATGAGGAAAGTCACCAAAGGAAATGTCACAATAAAGGTACGTTAGCTTCTTCCCATGCTCCGCTTCAGTTGCTGCCATGGACAGCTGGAAAAGTTGCTGTTTGTTGCTCTGATGTTTCTGTGTTTGTGGGTGCTAAGTGATGCTTGGGCATTTACACTCTGAAAGTGTAACTTCACTCCAGAAGTGTTATTGCAGTATGTTTATTTGTCTTAATAGATCAAAACATGTAAGAGTTTAAATAATAAATGCCAGTTTTTAAAAAAGTAAGCATATGTGTTAGCGTAAGTACATTGGAAATGTAAGGAAAGAAAATCCCACTTTCAGTGTTTAGGTTTGTGGTAACAGACAAATAATGTTTTATGCTAGAAAATAATTATTTGTAATACTGGAAGTTGAATATACTATTTATGGTAACAAATATGATAACCCAGTTTTTCCTCTGTTTTAGTAGTAAGCTGAACATTAAGATGAGAAATTATAGCGTAGGAAAAAGCTCACTAGTTTTTAACATGATTTTCTCTTTTTTTGCTGTGCTAGAATCACATCAGGGCCTACATAGGCAAGTGCTGTCTTATTAAGCTATGTCCTTACTGTTATCCTGACAAACCTGAGTGTTTCAGCTTTAAATCCTGGACTGTTGAACTGTTTACCAGGGACAGTATTTCAACATCAACATTTTTCTGTGATGGTTTTGATTCATTACTTTGAAGTTTACTTTTTCACAGTTTGAATCATAATGATCATTTCCTCCTCCAATTCGTGTGGTTCACAAAATCTGTTCACTGAATTTTCTCTGTGGCTTTTCTGAGGAAGCTCCTCATTTAGTTGTGTGTCTGTCTGCTTGCATTTTACAGTGACGGTGCCTGAGTTGGAAATCTTGAAAATGAATACTATGACAAGTTTTATGCAGCCCTGTGTCTAGCATGTTTCTCTACAGAGCAGGCATAATAATGAAATTCCAGTATAGATGGTGGATGTTCTGTATCTCACACGGTTGTAATCCCAAGCCCTTTATCTTCAGTATTAGATGTATTGGTTAACAGGCAATGGGGATGAGTATAAACCACCAAGAATTTACATATTAAGAGTTTGTTTAGGCTCAGGAGTTTGGGAGCACTTTGACTCTGGCACTGTGAAGTTGAGCATGTCTCCGGTTCTTCTGATATTTTCCCACTCAGTGAATAATTTGAATTGTGTTTATAATACTTGTCTTGTTTTCGTTTATAGATCTGGGACATAGGAGGGCAGCCTCGGTTCCGGAGCATGTGGGAGCGATACTGCAGAGGAGTCAACGCGATTGTGTAAGGTTTTTTCAAGTCAGTTTTGGGTTCAATGAAAAAAGTTTAATACTTCCAAAGGCTCAACCTGTGTCTCGGACAATAAAAGTCTTTAGCTGCTGGGCGCTGGTGGCTCATGCCTGTCATCCTAACTACTCAGGAGTCTGAGGTCTGAGGATTGTGGTGGTTCTAATCCATCCTGGGCAGGAAAGTTAGTGAGACTTATCTCCAATTCACCACCAGAACACAGAGGAAGTAGCACTGGATCAAAGTGGTAGAATGCTAAAAAGACCTCAGGGACAGTTCCCAGGCTCTGAGTTCAAGCCTCACAACTCTTCTCCTCCACGTCCCCCCAAAACTCTTTAGCTAATTTCTCAGTATGCTTTATTAGTATGCGATTTAGAGAGAAATTACAGAAAAGTATTACTTCTAGAACAAGAGCTTGCTTTTCATTATTTGTGTATGCAGCTGACAATATACATGTTGACCTTTTCTTTATCTAGGACTTGTATTTTGATGGAAATTTCCTGTATGGGGAACAGATACATTTCTTTTTCTGTTTTTCCTTTCTTTTTTGGGGAGGGGGGGTTGGTTGTGGGGCTTGAAATCAGGGCCTGGGCACTGTCCCTCAACTCTTCAGCCCAAGGCAAGCCCTCCACCACTTGAGCCACAGCACCACTAGTGGTTTTCAGGTAGTTTATTGGAGATAAGAGTCTCATGGCCAGTCGGGCGCCTGTGGCTCATGCCTGTAATCCTAGCTACTCAGGAGGCTGAGATCTGAGGATTGTGGTTCAAAGCCAGCCTGGGCAGGAAAGTCCATGAAACTCTTACCTCCAGTAAACCACTAGAAAACTGGAAGTGGCACTATAGCTCAAGTGGTGGTAGAGCACTTGCCTTGATCTGAAGAGCTGAGGGACGGCGTTCAGGCCCAGAGTTCAAGCGTCATGACTGACAAAAAAAAAAAAAGAGTCTCACAGCCTTTCCTGCGCGGGCTGGCTTTGAACTTGGATCCTCAGATCTCAGCCTCCTGAGAAGCTAGGGTTACAGGCGTGAGCTACTGGCACCGGGCTCATTGTTTTTTTAATACTAAAATCCCTGCCACAATTCCAACAACTTCAATAAAGCAAATTTAAATGAAATTGAATGTCTAATTCTGTCATCTGGATATGTGGAGAAGGCATATTGAGATCACTCTGTTTTCTTCATAGTTACATGATCGATGCGGCAGATCGTGACAAGATAGAGGCCTCTCGAAATGAACTACACAATCTCCTAGATAAACCCCAGTTACAAGGAATCCCAGTAAGTACGGGTGACAGATTGCATTCGTAAATTAGAGGACGATAGTCATCCCTCACTGTCCAGCCACAGAGGTTGGCCCACAGGACCCCAAAGATACAAAGATCTGAAGAGCTTAGATTCGGTGAGACTGTGTCTCACTGTGTAGCCAGGCTGGCCTCTGATTTGAGGTTTAGTCTCCCTCGTGTCAGGATTATAGGAGTTTGCTGCCACACCCAGTTCCTCAGGTCCTTTGTGTACAATGACATACATGGAATTTATAGAGACCTTACACGCATCCTGTATACTTTAAAGTCATCTCTAGGTGATTAAAATGCCTAATAAATTCAGGTGCGATATGTAATTATTAAGAGTATGATGAGAAGAAAGTCTGCATGTTTGGTATAGTTGTAATTGTTTTTTCTTCTCCTTTTGGTGGTATGGGGTTTTATATTTGTTAGGCACAAGCTCTACCATTTTGTCAGTTGTGGGGCCTGAACTCTCTCTCAGCTATTCAGCTCAAGGCTAGCACTCTACCACTTGAGCCACAGCCCCACTTCCGGGTTTTTCTGCTTATGTGGTGCTGAGAATCAAACCCAGGGCCTCATGCATACAAGGCAAGCGCTCTACCACTGAGCCACCCAGCCCCGGTGTTCTACTATTTTATCCAAATGTTTTTGACATGCTGTTAGTTGAATCCCTGGATGCAGCGCCTATGAATTTAGAGGGTTGTGTAATACACTTGAAGTTAGTAAGAGTTGTTCCTTTTAAAAGTCTGGAACGTTCATTATTATTGAGCACCTGCCATATCTTAGATCTTGTGCTGTTTGCATATGTCTCAATCAGGTGTCTACTACAATGCAGCATGCACACTGCTCAGCACTGTGTGTGTTGCTATGCAGTGTCTCCTGGAGTTTGTGGGTTGGATAGTCTCAAACACTTCAAAGATGCACTTCTGACAATAACTATGAACACAGGTGCAAAGGACTTTTAGAATTTTACATTAAAGGATTTGGAGAATTGTAAGCTCTAGGCCCTGAGTTCAAGCCCCAGTACTACCAAAAAAAAGTTGTAAGAGGGAAGATTTGATCTAGTTCAAAGGGGAGAAGAAGGCTTTGAGGAAGTGTGTGAAGTGGCATCTGAAGGATATATTAGACTGGGAAGGAAGTGGGGTGGAGTCAGAAGGAGAGGGTTCCTGCAAAGGCCCTTTGGTGAGAAGCAGGCCCCAGGCCCCAGAGCAGTGCAGAGCAGAGCAGAGCTGAGAGTGGAGGCCCGGCAGTGTGCCCTGCCATGCTGCACCTGGGACACTAGAGGCCGCACTGCACAGAGCTGAGGAACCATTTATGGTTTGAGCATATTACTGTATTATAGCCAGGGGTGTACTGAAACTGGGTGCAGTGTGATATACCTGTAGTCCCAGCACTCTGAAGGTATAGGTAAGGGGATTGAGAACAGCTGTGCTACATAGTGGAGGAATAAAGAACCTCCGTGGTCAAGAAGGGCACGTGGGGGCTGGGAAGGTGGCTCAGTGGTAGAGCGCTTGCCTTGCATGCCTGAAGCCCTGAGTTCGATTCCTCAGCACCACATAAGCAAAAAGAAAAAAGCCGGAAGTGGCGCTGTGGTTCAAGTGGTAGAGCGCTAGCCTTGAGCTGAAGAGCTGAGGGACAGTGCCCAGGCCCAGAGTTCAGGCCCCACGACCGGACCCAAAAAAAAAAAAAAGAAGGGCACGTGGGGAGGAGTGTTACAGGAAGCTGTTTCAGTAGCTCTGGCAGCTGCTCAGGAGGCCGAGATCTGAGGATCATGGTTCAAAGCCAGCCCGGGCAGGAAAGTCTGTGAGACTCTTACCACCAGAAAATTGGAAGTGGCGCTGTGGCTCAAGTGGTAGAGTGGTATCCTGAAGCTGAAAAGCTGAGGGACAGTGCTGAGGACCAGAGTTCAAGCCCCACTACTGATGTCCCCCTCAAAAAAAAAATAGCTCTGGCAGATTGCAGAATATTGGACTAATCCCTATGGGTCCACCAGAATATTGGACCAGGGTGGTGGTACAGGCAAGATGGAGGGAAGGAAAGTGATTTTAGAAGAAAAATTCTTAGATGGAGGGTGGTACTTTTTTGAGCTAAGGAACACTGGTAAAGGACCAGGTTTTAGCCTCATGGCAAGTTTCTGAAAGTCAGACACTTAAATATATAAACACATTTTTTATTTTTATTTTTTGTCGGTTGTGGGGCTTGAACTCTGGGCTTGGGCACTGTCCCTGTCTGTGCTCTTCAGCTCAAGGTGAGTGCTCTACAGCTGGAGCCACAGCGCCACTTCTGGTTTTCTAGTGGTTTATTTGAGATAAGAGTCTCACAGGACTTTCCTGCCCGGGCTGGCTTTGAACCTTGATTCTCAGATCTCAGCCTCCTGAGTAGATAGGATTACAAGCATGAACCACCGGCACCCGCCATTTAATCCTTAAAACATGCTGAAGAGTTTTTCTACATTCTATGCTAGTTCTACATAACACAAATGAGTATCAATTTTATCTTAGTCACAATAGGGTTCTTAGTTCTAATCAATGAAATGTTGCTTTTCAGGGGCTGCTTTAATGTGGCTGAGTGGTAGAGTGCTCATTTAGTATGTGCAGGGACTCAGTTGGTCCTCAAAAAAAGTAATAATAATAAATTTGAAAAAAGAAAGCCTATTTAAGTAGAAAGGAATCCAGTGGAAGGTTGTGGGTAGCTCACAGAGTCTCTGGGGAGGCTCAGCACATAAGTTGGAACCCAGGAAGGTCTGTAGGTGCCAGCTTCCTCCCAGAGCACAGACGGGGGTTAGGGAACAGTGGGCACAGCTGCTGTGCTCGTCCTGTAGCAAAGGTGGGGGCGTTTGCACAGTGCCATGTCCTCCCGTCTGCTTCTAGGAACTGGGGTTCATGCTCCTCCGTTATTACGGTAGATTTTCCATTTTTGTTTTCTTGCCACTGGGTCTGTTTCTGAGGTATCAGTTGTTTCTAGTTCATGTGCCCATCCTGTAGCTGAAAGGAAGGCTAGGAGAGAAAACTATGGAAGCAAGTAGCTTTATTGAAAGGAGAATGCATAAAGTGAGGACTAAGTTTTGGGCAAGCGTCATCATAACTGACATAGCTTAGATCTTTTTTTTATTTTGGTGTTTTTCCTTTAAATCACGGCTAGTGCTCTTCTTCCTGAACTACATCTGTAGTTCTGACTTTTTGCTGGTTAATTGGAGATGATGAATCTTTTGGATTTGTCAGTTAATATACTCAGTTAGCATGAATCAAGATACAAATTCTGGAGCTGGCATAGTGGCCCAAGCCTGCAGTCCTGGCTACTTGGATGGCAGAGACTGAGAGATCATGTGTTTTTTAATTTAACTTTAATTTTTTTCGTTACTATAAAGGTGATATACAGAAGTGTTACAGTTAGGTAAGTCAGGTAAGGAGAACATTTCTTTTTAGACATTGTCACTCCTTCCCCTGCGTCCTCCAAGTTTTTCCCTCCTGTCCCCACACACGTTGTGTATTTCTTTCCAACATAGTGTCTACTGAGTACCACTGCTGCATTTGTTCACCCTTTGTCTTTTCATTTCTGTGTCTCCCCGCCCCCCCCCAAAGACATAAATGAACAAACAAGACAAAAAGAAAAAGGTAACAAAGAAAAAAACCTCTTGTTTTCATTACTTGGAATTTACTTTGATAAATGTTATTTTATACACATACGTGTGCATATACACACATGCATACATACACATGCACACACATATATGTATGCGTATATACTGGAGAGTAAACTTGCGTCTTTGGCACAGTAAACACATACTCCTATCACTGAGTGACACTCCCAGTTTCTGGCTCTTAAATTTTTTTTTTTTGGTTGGTTGTGGGGCTTGAACACCGAGCCTGGTGCTGTCCCTCAGCTCTTCAGCTCAAGGCTAGCGCTCTACCACTTGAGCCACAGCACCCCCAGAAGGTGGTTAATTGGGGATAAGAGTCCCACAGCCTTTCCTGCCCAGGCTGGCTTTGAACCTTGATCCTCAGATCTCAGCCTCCTAAGTAGCTAGGATTACAGGTGTGAGCCACTGGCCCCCAGCTTGGCTCTTGAATTTTTAAAACTTTGTAACATGTTCATGATTAGTTGGCAGATGGACTGTTTCCTCCACTCTTGCTTGTTACCCTCAGCTGAAAAAGAGATTTTTTTTTAAGAGATTTGTTTTTAAGTGTTGGGGCGTAGGGCCTTGATGTAGGCCCTACCATGTAATTACAACCCTGTCTTCAGACTTAAAAGAGTCCTTTTTTTTTTTTTTTTTGGTCGGTCATGGGGCTTGAACTCTGGGCTTGGGTGCTCTCCCTGCGCTCTTCACCTCAAGGCAAGCACTCTACTGCTTGGGCCACAACACCACTTCTGGTTTTTTAGTGGTTTATTGGAGTCTCATGGACTTTCCTGCCCAGGCTGGCTTTGAACCGGGATCCTCAGATCTCAGCCTCCTGAGTAGCTAGGATTACAGGCATGAGCCACCAGTGCCTGGCTTCAAGCTTAAAGAATATTTAGAATTGAAGTTGGCGTCTTCATGGTAGGGTAGAGATGATGCCTAAGTAAATCATCATGTGACATAAAATATGTACATAGAGCATGCTTTTAAGATCTAGGTGTGTGTTAACATAAAATTAATTTTAAGGTTATACTTAGGTAATGATTTTCGTACATGAAAATTTACACTTAATATCTTTTCTTTTTAAAGGTACTGGTACTTGGAAACAAGAGAGATCTTCCTAATGCCTTGGATGAGAAACAGCTAATTGAAAAAATGTATGTCCTAACAATGAGTAATGCTGTTTTAAAAACTTCCTTCTAAATGATATTATTTTGTAGGCCATGTTTATGTTTTTTGTCAGTCATGGGGCTTGAATTCTGGGCCTGAGTGCTCTTCCAGCTCTTCCAGTTTTCTGAGTGGTTTATTGGAGATAACAGTTTCATGGCTTTTCCTGCCTGGGCTGGCTTTGAGCCATGATCCTCAGATCTCAGCCTCCTGAGTAGCTGGGATTACAGGTGTAAGCCATTGGCTCCTGGCTTGCCTTTTTTTTTGGCGGGGGTGGTGGTGGTGGTGGTGGGGAGCAGTAAAAAACTTCAGATCATACATGGCCTACCAGAGAAATGAGCCCCTAAAATTTTAGTAGTAATTTCTTCAGCATAGTAATGAAAATAAGTAAAATTGGAGAGAGAATGATAAATATGACAGCTATTTTAAGCACAGACTTAAATAATTCTGCTTCTTACAGGAATCTGTCTGCTATTCAGGATAGAGAAATTTGCTGCTATTCAATTTCTTGCAAAGAAAAGGATAATATAGGTAAGAAATGATAGATATTTTCAGAAGGAATGAGTATCATTGTAAGAAATATGTAGTGTTTTTTACTGTTTATTCTCCCTGTTCGTGTTCAAATAACTTCCTCTAGGAAGTACTGTTGTTTTGTCTTAGGAAAAAGCATTGGCATTATAACCTTTGGAAAAAATACATCAGCCAAAATTTTCTCTACACTATTTAAGGAAGTAAATGCCACAGAGCCATAAAGTCTAACATTATGTGAAGTTGATGTATTAATTTTTGCATCAAGCTGAGCTTTTGAATCAAAATGATATTTTTGAAATTAGGTCTTATACAAATTATTCTCTAGGCATTAAAACCACTTCATTATGTTAACATTGTACTGGAAGTGTAAGCCAGTTTCCACTTCATATTGTTCTTAATTTCTTGGAACTGCTGCCACAAAGTACCAACAACTATATGGTTTAAAACAGTAGAAACTTTCTCCTGTTCAAGAGGGGGGATTCACACGTGCTGTCACCTCGTCTTTGCTCCCTCCTAGCCTGCGCTGCCCGGGAGCCAGCCAACCAGCCTGGTGTTTCTGCTCCACTCTGCCTCCGTGGCTCTCTTTTCTTCCTGAGTTTAGTATCTTGTTAGACTCAGGCCATTGGCTTAGGGCCCATCCACTCCAGTATGATTTCACCTTAACTAATTACTCTATAAAGATTCTGGTATTTTTTCTTCAGCCTTTATTCAGTGTGTCACTTCTTGTTCATGACATCTGACTTTGGGTTACTGCTAGTCTCTGCAAACTGCCTCCAAACACGTTTTAGTGAGCTCATAGGGTTGCTGTTGTTCTGGCTCATTTGGGACTTCTTGAAAGGCCACTACAAAGCAGTGTAAACCCTGATAATTCTACTTTTGGATGCAAATATTCCTTTATTGAATGGTGAGAATAAATGACTTGTTACATACATGGAGAGTATTTAATTTGAGAACAGACTCTAGAAAGAATTTGTGGTTAAATGGACCTTGTTTAAATTTTTTGTTAGGTGCTCGTGGGGAAATTCTTGTTAAATTTTAAGGTATGTTTCAGTGAGTCATTTTCTCCCAGGAGACGTGGCTATATCTGGAGGCATTTCTCTCTCATCATCTCAGGGATAGAGATTACCCATAGCACAGGGCTCCCTGCGGTCCCCCAGCAGAGAGTGAACCTCATGCAGTCATTGGGTAGCGAGAGAAAGGAGCCTTCTTCTGCATGAACTTGGCTTTAGTATACTGGGCTCCTCTGTCAATCTGTTGTTCCTTTTGTATTCTTTAGTATTCCCTAACTCAGGAGAGAGCTTTTGAGGGGAACATCTTTTGTCGTTCTCACAGCCTAGCTGGATGCTTCCCTCACCTCCCACCCCAGGACCCCCCCCCCCCAAAGCAAACACAAAACAACACGCTTTCTAGAGCTCTTTTATGCAAGAGGTGCAGCAAAGGTGTTTAACACATGACACCGAGCTGTGCTTTGCTCTGGGTCAGTAGTTACCAAGTTTGTAATTTTAGAACTCTGGGTTCACTTAAAGTATTAACAGATTTAAGGAAATGGATTTACTTTTAGTTAGATTCAAATGTACATCAGAATGGCTGATTCGTAGGAGTAAGGAATCCTGACTAATAGCCAAATGGTTACACTTCCTTTTTGACTATAGTGGGTGCATGACTATGTACACGCACACTAGGGCTTGAACTCAGGGCCTCAGCTCTTACGTCAGCCTCCTAAGTAGCTAGGATTAAAGGTGGGAGCTACCAGTACCTGGCTGACTTCAGATTGTATAACATGTTTTGGCTCTAAGTTTTTCCTTTACTGACAGTCTCTAAAAAAATATTAGGAGCTGGAAACATCATGTTAGACTTCCAGCTTGCTCATATGGCATAAGAAGAGCCTCAGTTTCATGTCCATAAATCACATGGAGAAAAATACTCGCTGCAGACTGTTTACATTATGACACTTTCCTGGGAGATAACTTTTTCTCTTCTTTTTTTTTTGCATCTGATTTGTTATTTCTCTTCTGTGTTTTTATCTGGTGTTGAGGATTCGTCTGTTTTCAGGACATTTTCTTCTCTCCAGAGTCTGGGGAGGTTTTTTGTGAGTTCCTTCAATGCTAAAATGGGTCATTTTGTCTCGGGTTTACCTTTTCCTTCTCCTGACTAGCGGCTTCTGCAGCAGAGGTGTGAAGGACCTATTTCAGCCATGTTGAGTCCTGGTTTCATAGCCCAGTAGAGTTTCCTCCATCTCAGCTCTCAGTATTTTGGACAAGGCTATGGCTTCCATATAGTTCTCTCGTGTGTATTAGCTGGGAAAGTAGGAGGTTACATTTGTATTTACCTTTCTGGCTTGGAGTATAGAGTGCTAATTCTGCATGATCCTCATGTGCTTTTCTTATAAACTGTTTTTTATGAATTGAGGACAGTTGATGCCCTGCTCTGCCCTGGCTGCCTTCTGGGCGTCCTTTTCCCAGCTGGTCTCGGCCACTGGAGCTTGAGCTGGCATGGTGTGAGGGTGTCGTGCCGGTCTCCAACTCCTCCTCAGATCTGTCGATCTAGACATCACTGCCTTTACTCCTGATGTGCTAAAGCTGAGTTCTAACAGCTGTTTTCCTTCAGCCAGTTGGAGCCAGCAACATTTCTGTGACTCACACACGCAGCCTTCTACCTACACTCCCTTACCAAGTCCTGGTAGTTTTACTACACTTTCAACATTTTTTTATTTTAAATACAGAATCTTGCTCTGTATCTCATGCTGGCCTCATACTCATGATTGTCTGATCTCAGCCTCCTGAGTGCTGGAATTACAGGTGTATACCACCGTGCCTGGCTGGCTTCTTGTTCCTCAGTTTACTCCTTCCCATCTTACAGTGTCTCTCTTGTTTCAGGACTTCATCCCCTGCCTACTTGGTTGTGATAGTTTGCGTATTGGCAACAGTATGCATACTTGTACTTTGTATGGGAGCACCCTGTCTCCTCTTGCCATTGCTAGCTAACTAACATATAGTAATACAATTCGCCAGTAGCTTCCCATTGGCTTGAAAGCAAAATCTTACCTTGTTATCATCCAAGAATGACATATACAATGATCTGGCTCTCTGTAGCTCAGTGGTTTTGAAATTAGGACATTGTGTGTTGTGTATGCATGTATTCCCATGTACATGAGCACTGGTCTTGTACTCAGGGGCTCATGTTCTAGCTCTACTTTCTTGCTTATAGTTGGTACTCTCCAACTTGATACATACTTCTAGTTCAGCATTTGGCCAGTTAATTGGAGATGGAGCCTTGCAGACTTTTCTGATTAGGTTGGTTTTGAATGGCGATCCTCCACAACCTGCAGTGTGTATGTGCGTGTGTGTGTGCGCACGCGTGTTTGTGGGTGATTGTGTTTGTGTGTGTGAGTGTTTGAGTAGCTAGAGGGTTAGAGACAGGAGCCACTCTTGTTTCCAGCTTTATTTCAGGACACTTTTCCTAGGGAACATTTGGCAGTCTAGAGACATTTTTGGGTGGTTATAGTGATGCATGGTAATGACATCAGCTGGTTAAGGCTCTGGCTGCCCTGCAACACTCTTAGAAGGATGCAGAAAGGGTCATCTCGGACAACAGGGAAGAACTCTCCAGCCCAGAGCAAGGTCACAAACGCCTGATGTGGAGGTGCAGTGAGTGACAACTCCTCCTCTGTGCTTTAGCCACATTTTCTCACCTGCAGCACACCCACAGTTCTGCCCTGGTGGACTTTTGATCTGACTTGCTTTACAGTTTCCTTTGCCTGGCATTGTGTGTGGGTGACCTCTCCAACTTCTGGTTTCTTCTATTATGCTTAAAAAAGTTCTTCAGGGGCAGAATATTTGCCCTTCTCTTCACGTTCCTGGCAGTTTGTGTGCAATACCTGCTTTTCTAAGAAGCAATGCACCAGTTGCCCTAGACACAATTTACTTTTTCAGTCTGGTTATTGATTACGTGATCCTCACGGAGCTCAGGTAAATGGAGCACAGATGCTGAGAAGAGGGGAAGATGCCACATGTACATGTACCTGGACTTAGCTGCGCTTTAAGTATTGTGCCTGTTTGGTTATTTAGTTCCACTTTAGTATCTTAACATTTTGACTTTTTCCCTCATCTTTAGATATCACACTTCAGTGGCTTATTCAACATTCAAAATCTAGAAGAAGCTGAAACATCTCATGAAGTCTTCCAGTCCTTCTTGGCTCTAATCCTACAATTACTGTCCGTTCCTCTGAAGTACTTCCCAGAATCCGGTCCTTCCTAAACCCAAGAAATTGCAAAGTTTATTTCTCATGTGCACTGCTGAAGATGTGTATCCCTAACCCTTCATAACGAATCGGCTAGAGTTGTCATGATAAAGTCAGCAGACACAGCTTCTCATACACACTTGGCCTAGTGTGTAGAAACCCTCCACCCCCCAACCTTTCCTTTAAAAAAAAAAACAAAACACTTTGACCATCTTAAATCAAGAAAATGGCATATTTCCATTATGGTCTTTCTGGGCCAGATTTTTATATTGGTTTTCAGTAAATGTCTATAATATTTCATTATAGAGTCCAATAGCTTAATACTGATACTGACTTGATACAGCATGAAATTTCTAGTGCCACACACAGTATTTAGAAAACCTTAAGCCTGACTCATTTGAGATAATATAAACATAATGTTTACTTATCTCACAAATGCATGTGACATGTATAATTACCCTGTAGGAATTTTAAGAACTGGTCTGCAAAGAATGAGCAGAGGCGCCAGATCAATGTTGTCTCTTTACACTGGAGAGTTCCTACCTGATGGTTTTATAAACATACTCTGTTTTCTGAGAATATGTCATCACCAGATAGCAGCGGGGGTGTGGGAGGAGGAAGGCGTGCATGCTGGTTTATATATGTCCAGATCATTACTCTTTTATTTTTTTTCCTTTTCCATACACTTTTTTAAGGGCTTGGGATTGATGATTTTCTCACATGCTTTCATGAATTTAGAGCATTCCAGCCAGTGTAATAAAACCTGTTAACAATGTCAGACTTTGTTCAGACACACGTTTGTTTTTTCTATCTCCAGACATTAAATCAGTGCTGCATGACACGCTGTTAACTTTTTATATTGAGTCATAAAGTTGACTTTCAGCACAAAAGATACAAAGAAAACAAATTTTTAATTTTTCTCTTACCAAGTAAGGCTGGGTACTCTTGTCTGGTGCCATTAGATGTCTTGATTATTATGACAACTCTAGACCTGCCTGCTTTATCTGATGAATCATGCACAATGTCTACAGGTTGTTTAATAATCACACAGAGAACCGGGAAACTGAAGCTGTTGATTGTTGGCTTCATACAGAAATGTATAGAAAGTATGGAACACATTTTATAGTTGAGTGATCTCTGTACACATAAAGGGACTCATAACGCAGGTTTGCATAGGCCGCTGTAGCAGAAGAGCCCTGTCGGGCACTATTTCGTGTGCCTCATGCTGTGTGGGATTTGTTTCCTGCACACTGCGTTTCCAGATACATTGAGCACTCAAGAGGATGTCACCATTGAGGGTTTTTTGTTTTTTTGCAAATAGCAGTTTTAATTTATAGACTGCCATGGCCTTAAGACTTCTGTACAGAGTACTTCACTGTGTTGCACGTGTTACTTGTTTCCCATCCACCTTTTGAGTGAGCGGAATCTGAGCTTTTAAAGTTCTCTTTTTCTTTGAGGCATGTTGAATACTTCCCAGGTGGGATGGGTGGTTCTGGAAACGAAGGGATAGTTAAACTTAACTGCTGTGGTGTATACCACTGATGGTCACTGTGAGCTGGGACAGAGAACATGGCCACATGTGTCCCAGAAGAGGGGCTGGGATGAGGGCTGGGCTGCAGGGACTGCATACGTTGCAGTTGACCTAGTGTGTGTGTGTGTGTGTGTGTGTGTGTGTGTGTGTGTGTGTGTGTGTGTGTGTCCATTGCTTTCACCATCTGTAGACATCCAAATGCCACTACCATTTTTCTGTGTAACCTCTGCATGTGGAAACTTACTAGTCACTCAACTTTGTAAATACTTACAGTTCTTTTTTTTTGTTTTTTAAAAAAAATTTTGGTAGATGCATTTTCATCTGTTTACTGCTTTTTCTTAGCTTTGTTCAATAAACTTGCATTTTGAGGGTTGTAACGGCAATTTTAACTTAAAATGTACATCATGCTGAAAGGTTGCAGACTTTTTGGAAAGGAGCGGAAGGGAAATTACCATGGAGGGGTCCATAGACCGTGGGCTAGAAAGAAATCAACTCAGCGTTCAGAGATGGGCCTGTGGGCTAGTTAATGTAGAAATAAACTTTTGAAATATCCCTAGATCTGGAATTGTGTTGTTTTTGTTGTTGTGGGGTGATGGGGTGACTACCAATTGTAAAGTCAGGGTGCAGTGAATTTAGGGGGAAGCCCATGTTACTTTCACTTTTTTGGATGGGGGTCGTGTCAGCCTCCGGAGTGGTACGGAAGCCCTCTGCCACTGACCTCCCCTGCAGTCCCCACTAGAGGGCTTCTGTGTGGCAGGGCCTAGTTCAGCATTTGATAGTCCATTACAATTTGATTTTGCTATGTTGGGAGTGGAGTCCAGGACCTTGAGATCTTAGGCATAGTGCTCTGCCAAGGATACATTCCCAGCCGAAAGTCCAGACTTAAAAGTAAAAAGCCTACTAAGAAAATTAGGTATGTGGTGGCATGTGCCTGTGATCCCAGCTCTTGAGAGGTTGAACAAGCATATTGCCAAAGTTTCAAGCCAGCTTGAGCTACAAGGCAAAACTCTCAAAAAAGTCCCACTCCCCTCAACTACGTGTAGACATGTATGAAACTCTGCAAGATACGTCTTCTTAGGACAGTTATCAGGAAACTATTTCCAATACCAAGCATGTTGGTCCTACAAAGACATCAAAGCTCTTGGGGAAATGATATGATACTTATGTCCAGTTGGCTTTCTTTTCCTGTCCATGGTGTGATTGTGTACCGCCAGCCCTTCGCTGGCCAGTTGGCTATGTGATTGTAGCTTTTCTGCCCCTAGGTATTAGTGGAGCCATTTTGGTCTTCTTACCACTCTCTAAGCCAAGGCCCTGGGAGGTAAAAAATGGGGAGCTGGGGAGGGGCTTACTGAATGTACACATTTAGCTTAATTTGTTGTATACATACTTTGGTTATGGTGGCTTAGGCCTGTAGGCTCAGCATTTGGGAAACTGAGGCAGGAGGATTGTGAGTTCCAGACCAGCCTGAGCTTCGTAGTGAGACCCTGTCAGCCAAACCACCTGTAACTTCTAAAATGAATCCCTTTGATTTTATCAAGGGAAGTAGATGTTTTGGACCATGGCTGCTTTAGTGTTACTTTTTTTTTTTGACTGAGGAACTAAACTGCTTTTTGTGCTGTCCACACCAGGGATTGAGTTCCAGTGGAATCCTCTTTTGTTATTTGAGCTTCTCTGAATGACTGAGTTCAGGAGTAAAACTGTATACCAAGAACCCTATTTTAATAGCTAGCTGGCCAACTGCTTTATTTATTTGAAAAAAAAAAAAAAGGGCCACCATGGGAGAAACCATCCTGTTTGATCATGAAGATGTTTTCATTTTATTAGAAACTTCTGAGGTCATTTCTCCCACAATGCATCTGCCAGTGAAGAGACCCAGAAAGGAAGACAGGAGAACAAAACAAGTAGCCTTTCTGACTTCCTGCAAGTCTGCTGTTGTACAAGTAACTTGGCCACTGCAGGTGTTTCCTGTTGGTTGGTAAATACCCTCCACACAGCTTAAGTCACCGCTGGATGGGCAGGGGGAATGGAGAGGGGGATGCGAAGTGGCTTACATGCTTATGTGGAAATGGGACAGTGAAACCAGTTGAAATTGTCCTAAGAAATGGGGGCGTATTGTGGGCATGTTGGAAATGTCACCATGAGCCTTCTCCTTCCCATGTGCAATTCATGTACATCCATGAACATTTTTTACATTTAAATTTGTTACAAAGATGACACAGGGTTAACAGAGCCAGACAACAAGCTCTGAGAATTAGCCTCTAACCTGATGGTTGCTGTGGAACAGTTCTTAATTGAAGAATAAATGACAGTATGTGAAAGTATTTTGAAACCTTTTTTATTGGCAGCTTTACCATGAAAAAAACATCTTTCCAACGTTGCATGGGTTTCCTCGGTTATTAAATGATTGATTTTTTTTTTTTGTGTGTGTGTGTGTGTGTGTGCTGTCACTGGAGGTTGAACTTAGGGCCTCTTTCAACTTCGCATTTTCACTCAAGGCTTTCCATTCTACTGCTCCAACTACAGCTCCACTCCTGGCTTTTTACTGGTTAATAGGAAACAAGATTCTCGGGAATCTTTTGGCTTTGAACCTTGATCCTCAGATCTCAGCCTCCCGTGTAGTCAGGATTACAAATATGAGACTGGCCTCCCTTTGTTTTGCTTGGGCCTATCTAGCCATTTTGGAAGGGGAAGTGTTTATCCTACAAACAGTCTTCCTCTGTGAGAGTGCTGTGTGTTGTCATCGTTATTTCTTGTTAGGCCCAGTTAAAAAACTACACAGTATTGCAAAAAGTCCTCTGTTTCTGAGAACATGGCAAGAATGTTGTATGACAGTTTACCATGCTTCCCACTTCCTGGGTCACTCAGCCAGTCTGACCAAACTTTTCAGGACCCTTTGATACATACCCGACATAAACATGTGGGGGGCATTTAAAATTTCCCAAAGGTGCCAAATCTTACAGGAAAACCATATACCCCTTTCCACCTGAAACCTGCCATCTTCTTAATTTATTGGAAGTAGACACAAGGGTGAAGTGATTTAATTCCACGCCTACCCACATCTCCCAGGTGAGGACATTGATGTCCTGCACGGGAAGAGACGGTTGGGAGGGGAGGGCTGGGCCAGGACGTTGAACTAAGGCCTGGTGAAAACAATCTGGGGTGCTCCCCTCGGAGAGATGGAATTCGGTTGGTCTAAGATAGGGTCTGGGAATCCGTTTTAGGCATAGCAGGGGTAACTCTTAGGAGGCAAAGCCGGTCCCAAGCAGACACTAGGGTCGCATAAACTGTCCTGTGCCCCCCCCCCCTTTTGGTCGGTGGTGGGTCTTGAACTCTGGGCCTGGGCGCTATCCCTGCGCTCTTCAGCTCAAGGCTACCATTTGAGCCACCGCGCCACTTCCGGTTTCCTGGTGTTCGAGTCTCACGGACTTTCCTGCCCGGGCTGGCTTTGAACCGCGATCCTCAGGTCTCAGCCTCCTGAGTGGCCGGGATGACAGGCGCGAGCCAGCGCGCCCGGCTTCTCCTAAGCCTCGCGTCGCCTCTCCTAACCCAGACTTGGCGTGGCTTCCTCCAGACCCTTCCCGGACTGACACACGCTCCGGCCGGGACGCCACCTTACCCGGTGGCCGGGGAGGCGTCTCCGTCCGGTGTCCGGCAGGCGCTCCCGTGCCGCGCTCCCATTGGCTGCAAGTTCCCCGGTCCGGGGCCCGAGCGCCCCCAGCTCGCCACGCCAGCCGGTCCGGACTTCGGACCGCCCCGTGGGCGGAGCCTAGACAGGGGCGGCTCCTGAGGACGGGATAGGGCGGGGCCCGTCGGCGGAATAGGGCGGGGTCGTGGGCGGGGCTTGGTTGGGGCGGGGCCTGGGGATGGGGCGGGGCGAGAGGCGGGGCCTGCCGGCCCTGCGGTGGTCCTGGCAGCCTATGGCGCCCGGAGGGAGTCCCGGGCCGCGCCCCGCGAGGCCAGGGCTCGGGCCGGGCCAATCCGGGGCGACCGGGAGGGCGAACTCGGGGCCGGGCTGGTGGGGCCGAGACGCCGGGACTGGGTGGGGGGTGACAATGGACCAGTTCCTGGTGCGTCACGGGCGGGGAGTTCCTTAAAGGGGCCGCGCGCGGAGCTCCGGGGCGGACGCGGGTGCGGCGGTCGGCGGGCCTGGTCCCGCGCTGTAAAAGAATGCCCGCGGCGGCCGCGCGACCATGCAATGGCGAGCGCTCGTCCTGGGGCTGCTGCTCCTCCGGCTCGGCCTGCACGGCGTCCTGTGGCTCGTCTTCGGGCTGGGCCCCAGCATGGGCTTCTACCAGCGCTTCCCGCTCAGCTTCGGCTTCCAGCGCTTGAGGGGCCCCGACGGCTCCGCGCCCTCCGCGCCGGGGCCCGCGGGCCGGCCGGGGGCGCCGTCGGGGCCGCCGTGGCTCTCGCGGCCCGGGGTCGGGGTGGCGGCGGCGGCGGGCGGCCGGCCCGAGGCTCCGCGGCGGCCGGGACCCGGCGGCGTGTGCGGCCCGGCGCCCTGGGGTGGCTACGCGCTGGGCGGCTGCGGCCCGGACGAGTACGAGCGGCGCTACAGCGGCGCCTTCCCGCCGCAGCTGCGGGCCCAGATGCGGGACCTGGCGCGGGGCATGTTCGTCTTCGGCTACGACAACTACATGGCGCACGCCTTCCCCCAGGACGAGCTCAATCCCATCCACTGCCGCGGCCGGGGGCCCGACCGCGGGGACCCGTGAGTGCGCGGGGTCGGGGCGGCGGGGCGGGCGCCGTCGGCCGGGGCGGGGGCGCGTCCTGGCCCCTCCGTGGCCGGTCTCCCGTTGTAGCTCGCATTATCCCCCCCCCCCCTTTCGGCGGGGTCCGTCCGGGCTGGGGGTGCGCGGATGGGCCGGGGACCGGACTTGGGTCTGGAAGTGCGCAAACTCGAGGGCAGCCGTCCAGGCCCGTCTTCGACGGACGGACGCGTTGTGCGGTGGCCTCGGGAGGCCGGGCTCGGGAGGCCGGGCTCGGGAGGCTCTCCCACCGGTAATCGGGTTGCCACGCCCAGCCCTTGGTGGCTGTGAACGAGACATACAAGCAGCAAGGCTTGATTCCTGGGCAGGAAAGGGATCGACGGCCCCGCCGCGGGTGTGTGTGTGAGGGGGGTGGGGGACTCGGGTTTGGGGTTCGGATCCTCGGGTCGTGCGGCGTCCCAGCCCAGCCGCAGGGCGTCCGGAGGGCGTCGGCCCCGCGCGGCCGGGCGGAGTTCTCGGGGGCGGGGGTCACCGCGGCGGACGTGGAGCGCCCGGGAGAGGGGCGCGCGGGGTGGGGAGGGGGCCGAGGCCCGGGGTCCCCGGGAGGCGGCCGCGGATCCGTGCCCCCCCCTCCCCATCCCGGGCGCGAGCACGGCCGGCTCTGGACCATTGAGACACCACGTTTGCTTCGCCACCGGGAAGTTGGGGGGGGGCAGGGCTTGGGGACTTTTCAAAACTGTCATCCTGGCCAATCTGGAGGCTGAGGTCTGAGGATCGGGGGTTCGAAGCCATTCTGGGCAAACAGGTCCGTGAGTCTCTGATCTCCGATGAACCACCAGGAAACCGGAAGTGGCGCTGTAGCTCAAGTGGTAGAGCACTGGCCTGGAGCTGAAGAGCTGAGGGACAGTGCCCAGGCCCAGAGTTCAAGCCCCACCAGTGACAAAAGGAAGAAGAAAAATAAAGCTCTGGTCATGTGTAGATTCGTGCCTTAATTTGTAGTATGTTAGGGAGGTGAGATCTCAAGTTTACTTTAGAAGGGACTGGGCCTTTGCAAACTGTTCTACCAGCAAATTGGTTGAGTTATTGTTCATGCCACCAGATCAGTCTTAGTCCAAAAAAATGTGTTCCTTCCTCTTCCCTCCCTCTCCCTCCCTCCCTCCCTTCTTCCCTTTTCTTTTTATGCGGTGCTGGGGATTGAGCCCAGGTCTCCATGCACCTGTCATAACTGAGTTCTTCCTCCTTTGCCTCTTTTTTCTCCCTCCTCCAAAAAAGTTCATGCAAAAATGTTTTCAATCTTAATTTCTTTGAGGAGGATTTATATTAAAAAAAAACCCATAAAATTGGATCGGTCTTTCTTGAATTGTAGAAATGAATGAGTTGTCTTGCTCATTTAAATAGGTTTATACCTATACGCGTGTTTTCTTCTGATCTCAACTCTGGTTTTGGAGGGGGTTGGGGTTTTAAATCAGTGAAGTGTGCTGGCCGAGCAAGCGAGACACTGATTGAGGTCCTCAGCGTATCTTAAACACTTTTGAGATAAGAGTCTCATGGGCTTTTCCTGCCTGGGTTGGCTTTGATCCATGATCCTCAGATTTCAGCTCCTGAGTAGCTGGGACTACAGACATGAGTCCCGAGCGACTGGCTATTTTGAAGTTATCTTTGCTTGTGTGCATATATTTACACATTTTAATACAGTTACAATCAGAGTGGGTACATACCTTAGATCTTCGTGGTGTTTTCCCACCCATGCTTCTGGTATTTATAGGAAGGGGAGAATCCTGGTACTGAGTGACTGCCCTTTGCTAGGACTAAGAAAACAAAAAAAAATTAATGGGGAGTTGTGGTAGCATGCTTGCTTGGGAATATGATGGTCTGGAGCAAGTTGCTGTTCTTTTTCTTTTTCCTTTATGATGGTATTGGGGTTGAACTCAGAGCCTTGTGTGAAGCACTTAACCACTTGAGCCACCCTGAGCCCCTTTTTAACTTTATTTTTTCAGATAGAGCCTGATTTTTGCTTGGAGCTGGCCTTGGACTGTGATCCACCTACTATGCCTCACTCATAGCTGAGAGTACAGGCATGTACCACCATCGCTGGTCCTAATCTTTTCCTTAATGAATCTTGAGAGCCTTTGAGAGCTTTGGGAGCCCCCTCTTTAGCAAGGTGAGGTGGTGGTTGACTGAACTTGTTGATCTTGGTGGTTTCTTGTGTGTCACAGGTTGTGTGTGTGTGTATGTGTTATGGATTTGGGGCAATCGGTACATTGAAGTCGGGTCTCTTTAGACAGCTACACTATTGTAGGAAAGTTGGGAAAGATGAGATTATTAGTAATGGGCAAAGTAGCCCTGTGTCTTTGAGGAGGTAGGAGCTGTGGGGTTGAAGGCTGGCGGTAGATCTCATGTGGGTCCTTTTCCAAAGACTGGAAATGTCCAGTTTTCATCTCTTGTCAACTTTAACTGTCCTCCTCTCATGCTTTGCGGCTTTTCCAAGGAAGTTTTCAACCTCAGCTTTGTATTCTGAACCAGGAGGGCACATTTGTATCCTGCAGATAAATAACATCTATGTGTGTGTGTGTGTGATTAAACTTTTCAGAATTTTAAAATCGGCCATATTCATGATTGTGGTCACGTGTCTTGTATTAATTATTTTCAGAAAGAGGGAACTCACTGTTCAAATACTGCATGTAAAAGCCCAGAAACAAACGTGTGGCTGCCTCGCACGTGTGACTCTGTTTTTGGCCACATTTCCTTGAGGTTTATCTTGTTGCCCTTCTTTGACCTGGACTGGTGTGCTGAGCTCACGTGACGCAAATCAATCCTGAAGGCAGCACTTGCTGCCATCTACCTGCACAGCTGCGGACGGGCGGCTGCGCTCTCCTCCGCTTCTCACACGGCCCAGTTTGAATGGCGGAATCCAGATTCAAGTGCCTTTGAGTGTATTTTAAGTATTTCTGTGACTGGTGACTATATACCTCTAGCCTCAGACATGTGACCATTCTTGATTGTGGCTATTGGACTGCTAGTGAAACACAGAAAGCAAATCTCAAAGGAACTGACCAAACACTAGCCCATTTCTGGGCCCTCCTAGACTAAGAAGGAGGGCTGTCTCCATGAATTCCCCTGTCTTTCAGAGTCAGGCTCGGATCTTTTTCTGTGTCGTCACTCACTGAGGTTCATTGGCTGCCTTGATTTTCTCGGTTCTCCTTTTTTGGGTTCTTTTCTTTGAGCTGCTAGCTTGCATTTTCACATCGCCTGAGAATTGAGCAGTTATTGTGCATTTTACCTTCTGGGTCTTTCTTGCTTATCTCTCCCAGGCTTATCAACACGTGACTCTTTATCTCTTGTGTCCCTGTAGAAGCAGATAGGTTTCTGGCCAGCTGTTACAGGTTAGGTCTGTGGGAATTTTCATATTTGCACATGTCTGTTTGATTTTGTTATATGATCAAATATTGTCAGAGGCCATAGTTGTTTTTTTTTTAAATCTTTTGAGGAAGTAATAAGAATTTCAAACAGTCTCCATGTCATAAACATTTAAACTTGGGGAATTTAGGTGGGAGAATTATCAGTTATTAGTGAATGAGGAATTATCATGAAAAATTATTTGTGACATTTGAATCCAGGGTCTTATATTTATGTTTAAAGCAAGTGCCCTGCTCCCTTTGAGCTGCATGCCCGGCCCTTGAGAAGTATTTTAAAACCGGGTCCATTTTAGTAGCATGATACATAGAGAAATATGTGGAGTTCAAAATTAGTAATCCCTTTTATGTGCTTGGGCAGGCGCGAAGGGTGGTACAGGCCACAGATTGGGGTGTAGTTCAGAGGAGGGTGTGACCTGGGGGGGGTCACTGGCTGTCCATCTACTTCAGATGTTAAGTGATAAGCTGTTGAAGCTCACTCCTTTCTGATCAGCAGAGAAATGTAATTAAATATTAAAGCTGGAAGAATAGTTTCTTCCTCGTCCTTTTCCTTCCCTTCCTCCTCCTGTTCTTCCTCTTCTTTTTTGTTCCTCTTCCTCCTTTGCTGCCTTCTTTTCTTGTGTGCTGGTGTTGGGGCTTGAACTCAGGGCCTCTCACCTTCACTCAAGGCCGGCACTTTACCAATTGTTACTTGGAGAGAAGAGTCTCACAGACTTTTCTGCCAGAGCTGGCTTTGAGCCTCGATCCTCAGATCTCATCCTCCCGAGTAGCTAGGATTAAAGTTGTGAGCCATTAGCACCCAGAATGTGCTTGAGTTGGTAGAATTGGGTACGAGGCCCTTGCCATTTCTGTTCTTTCTCTCATATGTTGTATTCGAATCTGTAATTCCCACCTTAAGGGAACCTTTTGCCATTGCATACATTTATTTATAAAGAATCAACACATAGGAGAAGCAGGCGGTTTTCCAGCCATGTGTGGGCTGAGTTTGCGGCTTGTGCTACACAAAGCAGCTCTGCTTCCTGGATAGTTCCCTCCACGTAGCTTGTTTTGAAACAGTTGTGCTGTAAATTGTCCATCTTAGATGAAGTGGCCTATATAGCATGAAACAGGTTGTCTGAAAGGCTCTTGGAAGATCTACTGACTGAAGTGATTTATGCCTGCTTCTTCACCTAGGGTCCGTTTCACTCCAGTTGAGGGCTGCAGGGGCGTTAGATGGCAGGCCCGGCCGGGCCCCGGCTGCAGGGGCGTTAGATGGCAGGCCCGGCCGGGCCCCAGGCTTTTCTCCTGATCCAAAAATGGATCAGGATGCTTGCTATAAGGCAGATAAAGTGAAGGGGAGATGGAAGATAGGTAGAAGTGAATCTCTTGCTGGAAATTCAACAGAGGCTTTCCTACTTTGTGGGAAACAAGTTGTCTGGTTTTCTTCTTTACCTGTTCACTCCCCGCCGCGCCCCCCTCTCCCTGCCCCACACAAGCTTCTGCCATTCTCTTTTGGATTTGTGAGACTGGGACAAAGGAATAAATTAAGTTTTTGGTCGTGAATTCTCTAGCAGTCTGTATCACTGTTTCTCACACCCTGTCTTCCAGGTGGAGTATTGTTCCTTGACATGGCTGGAGTTTGTAGTGTAAAAAAAGAGAGGGCCCATGCTAGTAGCTCACACCTGTAATGCTAGTTACCTTGGAGCCTGAGATCTGAGGATCATGGTCTGAAGCCAGTCGGGATAGGAAAGTTGGTGAGATTCTTATCTCCTATTAACCACCACAAAGCTAGAAGTAGAGAATAACTAGTAACTGAAGAGCTATTTGTTGTGTTGTTTTTACTTCATTTTTTGTTTGTTTGTTTGTTTGCTGGTCTTAGGGCTTGCACTCAGGGTCTGGGTGCTATCCCTGAGCTTCTGCGCAAGGCTAGTGCTCTACCACCGGAGCTACAGCACTACTTCCAGCCTTTTCTGAGTAATTTATTGGAAATGGAGAGTTTTACTCACGGACTTTCCTGCCTGGGCATTGAACCATGAGCCTCAGATCTCAGCCTCCTGAGTAGTTAGGATTATAGATGGGAGCCACCAGTGCCCAGCTTTATTGGAAATAAGAATCTCATGGTCTTTCTTACCCCAGCTGGCTTTCAACTGAGATTCTCAGATTGGAGCCTGCTTGGTAGGTAGGATTATAGGTGTGAGCTACCAGTGCTGGCTGTTTTGTTTCTTTTCTTTCTTTTTTTTTTTTTTTGCCAGTCATGGGGCCTGAACTCTGGGCCTGGGCACTGTCCCTCAGCTCTTCAGCTCAAGGCTAGTGCTATACCACTGGAGCCACCGCGCCACTTCTGGCTTTTTCTGCTTATGTGGTGCTGAGGAATCGAACCCAGGGCCTCGTGCATGAGAGGCACTCTACCACTGAGCCACCTTCCCAGCCCCATGTTTTGTTTCTACTAATGCTCGGGCTGGCCTATGCGAAACAACTACTCTGTCTCGGTGTTATGCTTTAGCCCTGGAGTTGTTGTCTGGAGAGTGCTTCAGAATGGACAGTCGGTGTTGGGAGAGAGTAGCAAGCGTGTGTGTGTGTGTGTGTGTGTGCGTGTGTGTGTGTGTTGGGAGAGAGTAGCAAGCGTGTGTGTGTGCGCGCGTGCGTGCGTGCGTGCGTGTGCGTGTGTGCATGTGCGTGCGTGCGTGTTAAGGAGGGGCCAAGGGCCTCGCTCCTGCGCTGGTTCCGGTTATAAGATCTCCATGCAGAATTACTGGGGGTAATGAAGATGAGCTGTTGGTTAAAAAAGAAAAAAAAAAAAAGGTGTTGAGAAGTCCATTGACCCCTTCCACTGAAGGCCAGATGAGGCATTGGTGGCAGACTGGAGGTGTTTACTTCTTCCTATGTGTCATGGTCCGGAGGGGGTGATTTTGTCCTTCAATTGTTAGCGACTGTGATATTAAGAGACTTGTGAAGCTAGACAGGGTGCAAGAGAGCACTGATGGCAATAAACTAACGCAGAGAAAGGGCAGGTGATTGGTGTCTAGTCTTTGCACACTGGTATTCTGCAAATGTCTTTGTGACTTGTGGCTCCTGAGACAGATCTTCACCGTACGGATAAAAGTCACAGCCAGTTTCTGAGTCAATAAGAGTTACTAGAGCTCTCTACCACTTTGGGCCACAGGGTGGTTCATTGGAGATAAGAATCTCACAGACTTTTCTGCCTGGAGCTGGCTTTGAACTGTGAGCCTCAGATCTTAGCCTCCTGAGTAGCTAGGATTACAGGTGTGAGCCACCAGTGCCTGGCATACAATTTTCGTGTTTGATGAGTGTTTAGGTTTTTTTTTTTTTGGGGGGGTTACTGTACTAGGCTGGTCTCAAACGTGCATCGTAGGCAAGGCTGGCTTTGAACTCCAGAAGGCCCCAGCCTTTGAGAGTGCTGGGATTGGAGACAGAACCACGGGGCCCAGGCAGTGTTGTAATCTTTATTTCTCTTTCAAAATAAAGTCCTTTGTTGAATTGTAATTGTGCTTCTTTTTCAGCTCCAATCTGAACATCAATGATGTGCTAGGGAACTACTCTTTGACCCTTGTGGACGCTTTGGATACTCTCGCAGTAAGTGCCCTGCTTTTTCCTTTTAAGTGAGGATGGTTATTAACATTAGGCATTTTGGATTTTATTACTTCATTTCCCCCCAGGCATGCAAATTCCAGGAAACCTGGTGTTTAAAAAGCTTTTATGACTTACCGTATTTTGTAACTTTTATCAGAACAGCAAGATAAGCATTGGTAGTTAAATGAGGGGAAATATTATTCTCTTTTAAAATGGAAAAATAGCCAAGCACTGGTAGCTCGTGCCTGTAATCCTAGATACTGCTCAGGAGGTTGAGATTTGAAGATTGCCTGTTGGAATCAGTAAAAAGCTAGAGTGGTAGAGCACCAGCCTTGAGCTAAGTAAGGGACAGCACCCAGGCCTGAGTTCAAGCTCAAAATAATTTAATTTAAAACTAGTTAATTAAATTTAAAGAAAAGGATAAAAATTACGATTGGTTTTGGGACACCTGTTTTCCTCTCAGTCTTCTGTGGTATTATGCCCGAAAGAAAGGCAGAGTTCCGTTAGTATTTACAGGTGGTCTGGTTGGTATTGCGGGAGAAAAAGAAAACCTTATGGTCCGTGAGTACCTGATTTACCATCCAGCTGTTGGTTCCCCAGGAGCCTAGATGTGCAGCCCTCTCTGTGCCGACGTGAGCTACCAACCTGGGTGTCCCTCTGTGACTCCAAAGCTGGAGCTCTTTGAGCAGATAGGCAGAAGCACAGTGCAGGCAGTTCGGCCGTGTGGGCGCATTATCAGACTGTGCTCGCATGCTTCTGTACCAGACTGTAGTTTCCCGGGGACCATCCAGTTTACGCTGGTTTCACATCTCCTTAGTGAGCGTAGTTTTGCAACCCCTCTTTTCTCTTTCCTTGTGCAGTGGGCCTTTACCAGTAGAAAATTCCGGTTGATGTCTAGTTCAAATCCCGTATTTGGTAACTTACCTAGTTTCTTCTTTAGAAGCATTTGAACGGATTAGGAGTTAGTACTGGGCCATGTCAGCTAAGTTTGATGACGGCTGTGTAGTATTTTGGAGTGGTAAACGTAACGTAGAAAGACCTAGACAGCTCGCTCTGCATCTTCGCGAGTAGTAGACACAGGGCCAGGCCTCTGGTCTGCTGGGACCTTCTGCCAGGCTGCAGTAGCAAACAGGGTGGTTTCCCAGCATTTCCCTCAGGGGTGATTGCTGCTCCCTCAGGTCACCCCTCCCTGACTGACACCTTGTGCCTGGACAAGTAAAGCAGCCTAATTAGACTTGACTTGTGGAAGGTACCAGAAGCTGACTCACCTTACAAGTGTTGTTGTCAGAGAGGTTTCCTAAGACTTACGGGGAGCATAAGGGAAGCTCACTTCTCCGAGTTCATTTTCAATTCTCCACTATGCCTCCAAGAGGCATCTGATAGACTCTCCCCGCACCTGGGTCAGGGCGCATCCTAGGACTGCAGGTAGATGTTCACATCAGTTTCTACCAATCCGCCGTTTTCCGTGGCAAATTCCAAGGGGGGGGGGTGTTGCCAGGATGAAGAATTCGGTGTCCTAAAACCTGCAGACATTCTGTGTCTGCTCAAGAGCCAGGTTACACACCAGCATTAAACAATGCATTTTTATTGTTACTAGAAAGGTAATGTACAGAGGGGTTACTGTTACATAAGTCAGGTAACGAACACATTGCTTGTTGGGCAAGGATACTGCTTCCCTCGCTGTCTCCCAGGTCATTGTTGGGTGGCGTTTTCTCCACCGCGAGCACTGACTCATTGTGCAGACACTTGCTGGAGTTCAGCAGCTCTCTGACCGCTGGTAACTTGCACAGGATATAATTAAGAGTGGTAGAGGGCTCTGCAGCTGCGCAGCTACTGTTTTCTGGAGAAGATCTAGAAGGAAACAGACCCTTTTCTGTGGTTTTCACTGTACAGTCTCTGGCCTTTAATGTGCTGGCACCTCAGGCTTATTTTTCAAGTGTTTCTTCTGTTGAGGTTTTTCTACCTCATTTTTTTTGGCTGGCATTTTAAATAGGCATTAACGTATGTGGTCTGGGACCCCACAGGGAAACAGTCTCCTGACTCCTGCGTACAGCTTGCAGTGTTAGTGTGACTGTGTCATCCTTTAAAGGAAGAAGAAAGAACTGAAAGTCAGAGAGAAGCATCTGAACTTGCTCTGTATGTTGTAGCAAATAAAGATAAGGAAATGAAAAGATGTAGTAGACCAGTACAGTTAGAAAATAAGGTGTGTTTGGAAGAGGTAGTAGTGTCTGATGAAATAAAATTTGCAGTATTATTAATTGATTTTCATTTAGATTATTAGTCTCTATCTACCTGGTAAAGATTTCATGCCCAGTTGCTACTTTTAGGAGAGACATCATTTCTATACACCTCAAACAGGAATCATAATTCTGGTCTGCTCTTTACATTGTTTGTACAGGTAATTGTTTCGTTTCTTTTTTTGTGCCTGTCTTGAGGCTTGAACTCAAAGCCTGGGTGCTGTCCCTGAGCTGTTTTGCTCCAAGCTAGTGCTCTACCACTTCATTCACAGCTCCACGTCTGGCTTTTTGGGTGTTTAACTGGAAGATAAGAGTCTTACGGACTTTTTCTGTCCTGGATGGCTTCCAACCATGATCCTCAGATCCCAGCCTACTGAGTAGCTAAGATTATGGGTGTGAGCCACTGAGGCCTGGCTGGTTTGTTTTAAAATGCCACTAATTTTTTTTTTAAACTATGTTCCAAAGGTATAGGTGTTACTTCTCAAAGTGTTTATAAACCCCTGAATGCCAGCAATCAGTCATTTTCCAGATGTGTTCATCTCCTGAGAGCCAATCACCCAGGCTATAGATTTATTTGAGGAGCAGAGGGAAAGTCCTATTTTTGTTTCGTTAGCTTTCCTGTTCATTTTTTTCTTGTTGCAGGAGGCTTGTGCATGGAGGAAGCTCATAATGAAGCTGGAGGGGGAGGGAGGGAAGGAAGGAGTCTCTGTGGAAACGTGTACAGTGTTGTCATTTGGAGATGGGATTCCCGAGGTGCAGGAAATGGGCTTTGTTGTCTCTCTGGGAATCTGCTGTGTGACAAGTAACGTTTTGTGCTTTTGCTCCCACAGTGAGAACACCACGGTTAGATTCTGTGGCCTGGTTGCTGCCTCAGTTTCTCTTTTTATGCTGTAATACTGTTTCTGTCTCCCTTTCTTAAAGATAATGGGAAATGCATCGGAGTTCCGGCGAGCAGTCAAGTTAGTGATCAACACCGTCTCGTTTGACAAAGATTCCACTGTCCAGGTGTTTGAGGCCACGATAAGGTAAAGCCTGGGCATGAGAGCGGCGCATGCCTGCGTGGCTTTTCCAGGCCCCGAGTCCGTGGAGAGTCCATGCTGACCTGATGGGGGCAGGGCGTAGTTTTCAGTTTTCATCTCCATTTTAGTACTTATAAAAACTAGCCTTTAAGTGATGTGCTAAAGTCATCACCTTTTGAACTGCTCAGAAAGATACATTTACCTTTTGGGGTTTGGTTTTTGTTTGTATGTTTGTTTTAAATGATCCTGAGGTTTGAACGAAGTCCTTTTGCTTGCTGTGCAGGACCTCTCTACCATTTGATCTACACCTCCAACCCATTGTGCCTCAGTTGGTTTTCTTTTAGATAAGGTCATGTGTTTATTTCCCTGTCTGTATGGACCATGATCCTTGTGTTTATACTTCCTGAGTAGCAGGCGGTATGCACTACCACACTCAGCTTTTTATTGTGTAAGATGAAGTCTTGTAAATATTTTTGTTTTTTGTCCATCTTTGGGCTTGAACTCAAGGCCTGGGTGCTATCCTAGAGCATTTTTGCTCGAGGCTAGTGCTCTACCACTTTGAACCAAAAGCCCACTTCCCATCTTTAGGGGGTTAATTGGAGCTAAGAATTTCACACTCTTACCTGCTGGCACTGACTTTGAACTTTGATCCTCAGATTTCAACTTCCTCAGTAGTTTAGGATTACAGGTGTGAGCCACCAGGGCTCTCAGCCTTGTAATTTTTTTTTAATGGCAGAAGCTACAATCCTCTCAATATTTACCTGAGTTGTTAGGATTGTAGCCGTGAGCTGCCGTGTTTTAATGGAAGTATAAGATTGGTGTCCAGCTAGTTCACAGTTTCATTGTTGCTTCTTCTTATTTTATTTATTTTTTGCCTGCCTGCCTGCCTGCCTTCCTCCCTCCCTCCCTTCCTCCCTCCCTCCCTTCCTTATGTTTTGGTACTGGGGATCGAAGCCAGGACATCATACATGCTGGGCAAATGCTTTGCCACTGAGCCACATCCCAGCCATTCATGATTTTTATGTCTGGTCTTTTCTTTCCTGTGTACATATTTCTGAAGAACAGGAGGGTTGCTGGTCTCTCCAGTCACAGAAAAACCAGTTTGGTATTTTCTTGTATTTCCTTTTTATATCTTTCTCTCTAATCTCTTTTTGTTACATGTTTTAGAATCATGCTGTCTACCTCCTTTTGTATCTTGCTTTCTTTAGTTTGATATATTATGGCTGTTTTCCTAATTTTTTTTTTGGAAAATTGCATTACTGCATGACATTCCAGTTTCTAGATGCGATATTTATTTTAAAAAGTTATGGCCTGAAGTCAATAGCTCACTTCTGTAATCCTAGCCACTCAGGAGGCAGAGATATGAGGATCATGGTTCAAAGCTAGCCCCTGCAGGAAGGTCCGGGAGACTCCTATCACCGGTTAACCACATACACACATTCAAATTGGAATTAGAGCTGTGGCTCAAGTAAGTGGTAGAGCTCTAGCTTTGAGCATAAAAACTCAGGGACAGCACCTACTCCCTGAGTTAAAGCCCTAGGACCTAAGGGGGAGGGGGGGGGGAGGAAGTGCCAGGAGCCGGTGGCTCACACCTCTAATCCTGGTTACTCAGGAGGCTGAGGATTGAGGTTCAAAGTCTGGGCAGGAAAGTCTGTGAGACTCTTATCTCCAATAAACCACTAGAAAACTGGAAGTGGCGCTGTGGCTCAAGCGGTAGAGTGCTCACCTTGAGCTGAAGAGCTGAGGGACAGCAGTGCCCAGGCCCAGAGTTCAAGCCCCATGACTGACCAAAAAAAAAAAAAGTTATGAAATGGTTTGTTTTGAAAAATACAGGATAATAATACTGTAGTTCAGATGATTGTAATGGGCCCTGGGTGTCTGCAGGAGCAGATCTATGCTGGAGTTTGTTCTCTCTGACTAGGCCATTTTCTCCTCACTTGCCAGCCTTCTTCACCCTTGCCCTGAGCCGGGTGGCAGAGAAATCCAGGAGGGTTTTGTTCTCGGTGACTGCAGAGGTGTGGTTATTTCAATAGTGAGGTGAACTAAGCAGCCGCCACTTACTAGAGCAGGAAATGACTAAATGACTTCAGGAGTCCATTTTCCTGCAGCCTGGGGTCCCCAAAGAACCAGAGGCTGCTCTTCCTGTTCTCGATGGATCGTATCTGCTCAAAAGCAGCGTGATTTAATTTGATCTCGTTCTGTTCCCCCTGCCACTAGGGTTCTGGGAAGCCTCCTCTCTGCCCACAGAATAATAACTGACTCCAAGCAGCCCTTTGGCGACATGACCATTAAAGATTATGATAATGAGTTGTTGCATCTGGCCCACGACCTGGCGGTGCGGCTCCTCCCGGCCTTTGAAAACACCAAGACCGGCATCCCCTACCCACGGGTAGGTTTCTCCTGTTAACTTGCTCTCTTTTAATAGATTGTTTTCAGTGATGTTAACTGTACAAGTGTGGGGGGGTCTTCATTGTGATCTTTCCATATGATGTACCCCCATCAAACCGCACCCCCCCCCGTCTTGAAATGACTTCAGCTGGCTTTGCTGTAAACTTTGCATACTTCATCCACTTTCACGCATTCCCCCTCCCCCTCCTATCCCCCACAGCGGTCTGCCATTCATTTTCTTGAAAGGATATATTAATTATGCCAGGAGATCTGAATTCAAGTTCTTTGACTGCTAGAAAGGAATGGGCTGAGGTAGAAGAGGAAAGCAGTTTGCTTGGAGAGAATTCGGTCCTAAATATATGTGAATAATGTGGAGTCTTCATTCCACGTTTACTGAGCACTATGGCTGTCCCCTCCCCTCCCCTCCCTCCCCTCCCCTCCCCTCCCCGGTTCAATATTCCTGAGTCCTCTAACACTGACGTTTCTGCCCCCTGCTACCAAATAGTGTGGTTATTTTTCTTCATTCTGACATGGACGAGTTTCCCCAGGACCTTCACGTGTGTACTGCCGGAGCTTGGCCTTTCTTTGAAGGCTTCCCATGGATGTTTGGGATAAAGCTCTCATAGACCAGCAAGTTAGAGGCTGATTAAACTACAAGGTCTGGAAGAAGACTGTATCAATGGCATTTGACTTGCCAAGCCTTAATGCTGCTGGGGGTTGAGTCAGTCTTTTAGGTATCAGGGGTGGGAGTGTGGGGGGTGAGGGGTGTGGGGCGTGTGGGGGGTGTGAACTGGCAGCCCTCCGAGCCTCAGTGGTGAAGCTGCCCGGCTCAGGCCGGCTCCCTCCTGGCCCAGTCAGACTTGCTGAGCGGGAGTGGGTTCCTGGTGTCTGGCTTGAGGCTCAGCTGTGATTGTGTGACTCTAGTGTTCCCTGGCTCACATGGTTGTGCAATTCCAGAGCACACATGCCAGGAAGGGAAGCTTTAGGGAAGAGTGATCTCATCCGTCCCCCAACACTGGCTCTTTGGGACACCAGGGGGTTTGAACCCAGGTCTTTGCACTAGCCAGGGAGGTGCTCTGCCTCTTGAACCACTCTTCCAGCCCCAGCTGCAGCGCTCCTCTTGTCTTGTTTGCGTTCCTCTTGGGTGCAGCATGGCAGGCGTCAGCTTGATCCATTAGCTCAGCGCCCTCTCTGTGATTGACTTCCAGGCCCTGTGCGTTCATGAGCTTTGCTATCATAGCTTTTTGTTCTTTAGAGTCAGGATCTCTTCTAAGAGCCCAACCTGAGCCCAGGTTAGCCTTGAACTTCTGATCCTGCCGTTGCAGCTTCCTGAGTGCTAGATGATCACAGTGCTGGTGATCTCCCCCCGGCTGCCACATAACCTTTGGCTCTTCCTGTCCCCAGGTGAATCTAAAGACAGGTGTTCCTCCCGACAGCCGTAATGAGACGTGCACGGCCGGAGCTGGCTCCCTCCTGGTGGAGTTTGGGATCCTGAGCCGGCTGCTAGGAGATTCCACATTTGAGTGGGTTGCCAGACGAGCGGTGAAAGCCCTCTGGAACCTCCGGAGCAATGATACGGGACTACTAGGTGCGGCGCGGCTCCTCCTGCCCTTGGGTCCCCCGGCACCGGCAGCTCTCAGAGCCAGACCCCGTACCTTTGGGTGACCCTTTGCTTAGGCTGAAGCTGTGGGGTTTGGTGGAAACAAAATACTTTGGTTGTTTGGTGGAGATCCCTTAGCAGTTGGGTCCCTTGGCATACTGAAAACGATTGGTAATGGAAATGCTAAAGGAAGTGCCGGCGGGGCAGACGTGACTGTTCCAGTTTAAGATTTTAAACGTAGCTTATTTCCCAGTGGAGCTGCCTTTGCCTTAAAGAAAAAAAAAGAAATCTAGGTGAGGGCTAGCCGATGGAAAGCCTAGCCTAAACCTATCGTGGTGTGACGGTGTGTAGTCGAGATATTTCAAACTGCTGAGCACCGGTGGCTCGCACCTGTAATCTCAGCTACTCAGGAAGCCCAGGTAGGAAAGTCTGAGATTCTTAGCACCAATTAACTAGCAAAAAAAAGCCAGAAGTGTAAGTGTTGCCCAAGTGGTAGAGCGTTAGTTTTTAAGTGAAAAAGCTCAGGGACAGTGCCCAGGTCCTGAGTTCAAGTCCCAGTATTGGCACAAAAAGAAAAAAAAAGATAATTAAAAATTATCATGGAGCTGGGTATGATGGCTCACATCTGTAATCCTAGCTACTCAGGAGGCTGAGATCTGAGGATCATGGTTCAAAGCCAGCCCGGGTAGGAAAGTCCATGAGACTCTTATCTCTAATTAACCACCAGAAAGTTGGAAGTGGCACTGTGGCTCAAGTGGTAGAGTGCCAACCTTGAGCTGAAGAGCTGAGGAACAGCAACCCAGGCCCAGAGTTCAAGTCCCAAGAATGACCAAAAAAAAAAAGCTTATCATAGAGATTTTCAATCATTATTATAGTATCATGAATAATAACCATCCTTCATCTTTAGTAGGTGTCTGTGTTTTGCTAACTCAGAATATTGTTTAAATTGTTGTGTGTGTGTGTCTATGTGTGTGTGTTTGAGATGGTATCTTGCTATGTAGTCTAGATTGCCCTGAACTTGGATTCTTCCGGCCTCAGCCGCTTGAGTGCTGGGATTATAGGCATGCACTATAGTGCCTGGCTTAAAATGGTTTTTCACCTCATATAACTGTCTTATTTGGGATCAAACTTCATTTTGGCATTGGGAAGTAATTTTGGTTTAACAACAGTAGGTTGTTAAAAAAGATTTTTGAAGTGGTATATTTTTATTTTCTCTTAATGTTTTAAGACTTTTATACAGTTAGATACTAGTGGTTTACGTCTGTTATAATCCTAGCTACTCAAGAGGCTGAGATTTCAGAAGTGAGGTTTGGAGCCAGCCTGGGCAGACAAACCTTAGAGACTCTTACCAGTGGAGAGGTGTGGAATACTAGCTGTAAGCAGGAAGAGCTGAGTGAGAGCAAGAAGTACTGAGTTCAAGGCCCAGTACTAGTACATTCACACATACACAGAGAAAAACACACACCTATAATTTTATTTTTGGAGGCAGAGGCAAGAGGATTGTGTTTAAGGCTAGCCTAGGTACATAAGCAAAAGCAAACAAACAAAACCCCCAAATAGTGTCATTTAAAATGCCAGTGGTTGACTGTCAGATTCTAGCTTTTCAAAGGCCTTTTTTAACCTTCTGTGTGGAGCTTGTGTATATTTTCAATAGTATGTTAATGGTATCGTGTCTTACATTTGGCAAATCATGCCATTGTTTCAGACTGAAACTTGGTCATAGTTCCCATTTCTGAGAGCTACATAATTGTCTTAACTCTTTCTGGTGTTGGACACTTAGATGATTTTTTCTCTCCTCCTTTTCCCTCCCCTGCTTTTCTATTTTGTGGTCTGATAAACACCACAGGGCGTTTTGTTGTGTTTTGTGAGCGGTTCTTGCTCGGTCGCCGGGCTGGCCTGGAACTTGCTGGCGTACAGGTGTGCCACCCCACTTGACCTTCTTTTTAAAAAGGTTGTTTTTGTTTTTTTACCAGGACAAATACGCAGGATTGGGCGTACTGGGTGAAAGGCTATGGATACTCTTCTAGGCTTTGAAATGTGTTGTCACACTGGGAAAGAAAAATGACAGACTTATTTTTCTTTTGCATTATTGTCCCATGCTTACCTGCCCATCATCTGTCTATCCTTCCATCGTGTCCCTTTCATCTCCCTCTCCCTCCCTCCCTATCCCCTCTCTCTCATCTGTGTACCCATTATCTGCCTACCTCTCGTGTGTGTGTATATTCATGTGTGTATGTCCATGTATGATAAAAAGATCCCTAAGCATTCCGAGTCACTGATAGGACTGAATACAATTTAAGACGGAGCATTCATGCCTGGTACCTACCAAGAATAAAGGCACTGAGGAGCAGTGGGGTTGAACCTGGGGGCCTCACCCTCTCCCCCTCATGATACCCAGCATCTGAAGTGTACCGTTTGTCTCCACAGGCAACGTTGTGAACATCCAGACAGGCCACTGGGTTGGGAAGCAGAGTGGCTTGGGTGCTGGGTTGGACTCCTTCTACGAATACCTGTTGAAGTCTTACATCCTCTTTGGAGAAAAAGAAGACCTGGAAATGTTTAATGCTGCATATCAGAGCATTCAGAACTACTTGAGAAGAGGGTATGTTTGCAAGTAGTGGGTGTTCCCAAATGCTCCCAGGGTGGTCGGGGTCTGTCTTTGCCTTCCCCTTCCCATCTCTGTTAGCTATTTGTCAGTCATCTGGGCCTGAGACCCTGTACTAGGTGCCCTTAACTACCAAAGCCAATGGCTTTAAAAAATAATAATAGAAACAAGAACACCGCCCAGTATGGTTCTGGGGGGCCATGAATCTGAGAGCAACTGAGCTGACGTTCTGGTTCAGACTCTTTTTTGTTGTTGTTGTTATTGTTGGTGGTGGGGTTTGAACTCTGAGCCTGGGCGCTGTCCTTGAGCTCTTCAGCTCAAGGTAGTGGCAATAAGAGTCTCACAGACTTTCTTGCCGGGGTTGGCTTTGGACCATGATCCTCAGATGTCAGCCTCGTGAGTAGCTAGGATTACAGGCGTGAGCCACTGGTGCCCGGCTGGTTCAGACTCTTGCACAAAGGCTGCCATCAAGCAATTGGCCAGTGCTGTAGCCATGTCAGGGCTTGAGACACCAACCGACCCCTCCAGGCTCACCGTGGAGGCTGGGGCTGTGTGTATCTTTGTCTGTGGAGAGGTAACCCATGGCAGCTGGACAGAGGAAATGGTAATTTGTAGACTTAGTCTGTGAAGGCTGTGCCAACCTTTCACCAAACTATTGGTCACTGGATAAGTCACGATATACAGGCATGTACCTACCAGCAGGTAGAGGTAATCCAACCACATTAGAGATCGGATACCAGAGAGGAGAAAACACTCCTGTTCTTAACTGCAGACTTAGCTGCGGGTAGAGTTGTATGTGACAGGACCATTTTTGAGTTAGTTTTCTTCTTGGCTTGGTGTTTATATTTGGCAAACGAGGACGGTTCTGTTTGTGCCCCTCTGAATTTGTTTAAAACACATCGTTGGCCCCTCTTAGACATCAGCGGAAAGAGCATGCGTGAGCCGTCCAGAGCCACTTGAAGCTACCATGGCTTCTGCCCTACAGCCACGCCTCCTCCCTCAGGTGTTTCTCAGGTGTCCATGTAGCTCATGGTTGTTGCTGTAACAGCTGCCGAGTGTCCTGCTTCACAAGATTGTTGTGGACCCATTTCTCCAGTAGTCATTATGGGAGCCACTTGTGTGAGTGCTATACTTAACGTAGGCGAGTGAGTGTTCAGCAAGAGGTGAATCATTTTGTTTTTCAGAGATCCAAACTAGTTTGGGTAATGAGCCCTGTGGACCTCCAAGCCAGGGAACAGACTTTGTGTAGAAGGAACTAGCTTTCCACACTCAGGTCAGATCCAAGGTAGGCCCATACTCTGTATGAACTGTCACATGCCAGGGTTTTCTTTTTGTTGTTGTTTGTTGAGGGTGTTGAATTCAGGGACTCGCACTCCTTTGCTTTCTTGTGCACTCTACTACTGGAGTCACAGCATTTTGCTGGAATCCCATGGACCTCTTTGTCTGGATTGGCGTCTCATGGTGGTTCTGTGCATGTCGGCCTCCTGAGGAGCTGGATTCCAGTGAACTTCCAATGTCTGGCCACTGCAGTCTTCTTGCACTTGATTGTTCAAGTGCTTTCTGAAGAATGCAACGAAATCTGAATATGTTAGAAGAATTGAGTACAGAATTCTTATTTTGTGCGTCTTGAGGCAGTCTTCGCAGTTGAAAGAAGGCATTAGGAAAGAAGTTAGTTGATTAGTTTTTCCTTTTTAAATGAGTGTGTTGGTGAGTTGCACATACGCTGCTTGCCCTCGTAGACGGGAAGCCTGTAACGAAGGAGAAGGAGACCCCCCGCTCTACGTCAACGTGAACATGTTCAGCGGGCAGCTTATGAACACCTGGATTGACTCCCTGCAGGCCTTCTTCCCTGGACTACAGGTATTGTGCTCTGCTCAGAACAAGCTATCACTGGAAAGGAATGTCCCACCTTACCCCACCCACCTTTTTCTTTAGCTTCTGATCAGCCTGCTTATGAAGTCAGTCCTTAGAGTATTGGACAGGGCACCACTAAATAAGTACCAAAGCATGCCTGAGAATGATCTGCGTCAGGCATTTGTATAATTCATGTCCGTTGAGGACTGTTTCTGTGTAGGTCACAGCAGTGTGGACATGGTGGGCAGATACAGAGGGCGGACACATCTGTGTGTCTGAGTGGTCCGCTTTGGGATTGGTTTTATCTCTGGCTGTATGTGTAGGTTAGTGTGTGGATTGGATGGGAATGAGAGGAGAGGTGGGCCCAAGATCATTGTGTGATTTCTCATTACTCTGAAACCAATGACGAGGCCTCATGATGCCCTGTGTCCTTGCCTCAGGTTCTGATAGGAGATGTGGAAGATGCCATCTGCCTCCATGCCTTTTATTATGCCATATGGAAACGGTACGGGGCCCTCCCTGAGCGGTATAACTGGCAGCTGCAGGCCCCCGACGTTCTCTTCTACCCTCTGCGACCGGAGTTAGTGGAATCCACGTATCTCCTCTACCAGGTACTAGAGTTCAGGAAACATTAGTATATTGTCTCATGGTGATCCGAGAGACTGGCCTCCTATCTGCAGACGTGGTTTTATTCATGGTTCCACAGGACAGAGAAAGCATCTGTGGCCGATTTTTTTGTTTTTTGTTATGCCAGTCCTGGGGCTCAAACTCTGGGTCTGCATGCTGTCCCTGACCTGTGCTCAAGGAAAATGCTCTTATCACTTAAACCACAACTCCACTTCTGGCTTTTTGTGGCTAATTGGAGATAAGAGTCTCACAGACTTTCCTGCCCAGGCTGGCTTTGAACCATGTTCCTCAGATCTCAGCCTTCTTAATAGCTAGGATTATAGGCGTGAGCTACCAGTGCCTGGCAAGCCAAATGTTTTCAATGTCACATTTTGCAAAGAATCCTGTCCTACTCTAAGATTCACCACATTTTAAATACTTAGGAAGATTTCATTCTCATTGCATTCCAAGTCTTTTTGACCCAAGAGCCCTTTTTGAGATGCAGTTCTGTACCAATGTGTTATGGAACCCTGATCTATATGATAGCTGTTCAGACAAAAAAATATTGTTTCTTGTTTGTAGTCGAAGGCATCTGGGATTCATCTGAATGCCTATTTTTGTTTAATATTAAAAATATATATATAGTGTTCATATTTTATGCAATTACTTTACTGCCAGAGGGAATGTTCTTTAACTGTGAAATGTTTTCTCCGACAGCTGAAGATAAAGATGTACATGCTGTTCATGTATACACACTGGGGTCCTCTCCCATTCACAAGAAACTGAGGCAAAGCTCTTAGTTTTCCAAGAAGCTAGCCTTCAGTGCAGTTCAGTAGGCCTGCCAGGAATCTGCAGTGAGCAAGCCCAAGACACTGATGCTTACAAAGTCTGGGAGTAGGATTACTATACTGGTGTAGCTTTATTCAACTATTTTGCTTAACTACTTAGTCATTGCCACTAGCTTCTAGATGAAAAACAAAGGGGGGCGGGGGGGGGGGAAGATCTTGTGAAACTTTTAATAGTCCTTATGCCTAAAGCAACGCCCTTGTGGATTTTACATGGCTTCCATAAAAGAAAGGTGATCTTGTTCTCCGCCCTTTTGAGCCCAGCCTGGCATGAAGCTGTGCAGGATGGCTAGCCTGCTGCCACCTGGCTTCTCTGTAGCTTAATCCTCGTGTGTGTGTGTGTGTGTGTGTGTGTGTGTGTGTGTTTCTTTTACCTCTTTCCTATTTGCAACTTCTTATGCATGCTATTTTCTTCTGATCTAGAGCCGTCTTTTGCTTTACAGATTTTCCCTCTGAAGTCATGCCTAGGCTGATTGTTTGCTTTTGCTGCTGCAGGTCAGCAATAGATGTGAATTAAATATGACCCCCAACAGAGCATCTGAGAGCCTGCGACAGAGGAGAATGCGCCCCGTGGACTGATTTTTCTGGGGCGAATAGACAGGAACATGTGGAGGCTTCCTTTAAATAACTGTCTTCTAGCACACTCCTGCTCCCTTGCGCCTCTCTTCATAGTGCGGCAGTTGGCGTGAGACAAGGTCTTAGACCCTTGTGCCCAAATCTGAAAATGTCTAGCTAGAAATTGGATTTGATGTCAGATGTGGTCCTGTCGGGGTGGGCATTATTATTTCACTTGTAACACGGTGTGGGCATCAGAAGAGCCAAAGCAGAGCGCTGTTCTACTCTGGAATAGATTTCCTCACCCTAGTTGAGTTTAAACCAGTTACAGATACATTTGGTCCTGTGTGACAGAAAGAACGCCATCGCCGTTTAACCTTTGACCCATCACAATGAAATAAGGCCCGCCCTGTTCCTCCCATCCTTGGCTGGTGACTTGTCTCCTGTGGAGTCCCTGAAGTCACGGTGGGTATCTGATGATGGTCACGCTCTCTCTTGTTCTTTCCAGGCCACCAAGAATCCCTTCTACCTCCACGTCGGGAAGGACATTCTTCAGAGTCTGGAGAAATACACGAAAGTCAAGTCAGTCTTCTGCGTTTCCCTTCCTTCCTTTTGCTTTTCTAGCCATTTGTGCCATATTTCAAGTTGTGTGTGTGTGTGTGTGTGTGTGTGTGTGTGTGTGTGTGTGTGTGTGAATATCCCAGTTTGCCTTTGAAATTTGTAGAAGAGATTATTCACGTTAATTTTCTTTTTTTTATATTTAAATTTATTTTTATGGTAAAGGTGAAGTACAGAGGGGTCACAGTTACATATGTCAGGTTATAAGTGTGTTTCTTTATGATCAGTGTCATCTCTTCCCTTGTTTTCTGCCAGTTTTTTCCCCTTCCAACTCTTCTCTCCTACAAGTTGTGTAGTTAATTTTCAGTCACGTTAATGTTCTATAACAATCATTCATCTTTTGGTATGGCGGAATCTGTCCCTTACAATGGAAATTACGTTTTTTTCTTTGTCCCCTCCCCCACTTTTTTTTTTTTGTAAGGTTTTAGCAGACTGTATTCTTTTTGAGTAGTTCATTTCCCCATGTTATGTAACTTGTACACTAAAACATTTACGGAATACAGAAAACATGAAAATGTAATGTGTTATGCTTGTGGTTCTCACCTACAGAGATATAACCATAGTTAGCATTTCACTCTATATCTGTCTTTTAAATATGTTTATGTGCATGTTGTGTGTACACGTCCATATATGTACTATGCATACATATTATATATGTGAATTTTGTGGCCTGCATTTTAGAGATTTTTACCTTCCAGGAATTCATGTTTTTCTTAGAAGATACTAAAATTTATGATCCCCAGATAATAAGTCAGTTCTGCAGATATGGAAATTAATAGTTTTAAATCAACCTTCTAGATTTATTGCCAGTCATTTCCTTGATGCGATGTCATGCTTATGGCAAATACCCTTCGCTTCCCTCCTACCCTCTCTAGCCTGGAACTAACCCGATGAGGAAACAGCCAAATCGCTTTTAAAAGTAAATTTAGCCAGGCACCGGTGGTTCACACCTGTCATCCTAGCTACTCAGGAGGCTGAGATCTCAGGATCACAGTTCAATGCCAGCCCGGGCAGGAAAGTCTATGAGACTCTTATCTCCAATGAACCACCAGAAAAGTGGAAGTGGCACTGTGGCTCAGGTGGTAGAGCGCTCACCTTGAGCTGAAGAGCTGAGGAACAGCGTCCAGGCCCGGAGTTCAAGCCTCATGACTGACAAAATAAATAAATAAATAAATTTGTAAACTATCCAGATTGGAAAAGGAATAGCCCTTCCATATCATATGCTTCATTTATGACATGGTTTTGGAAGACGTGGCTGGTTCTTCCGTTACCAGAGTCCTGGCGCTCCTGGCATTAATGGACCAGAGGACTGGGCAGGACTCACTGCTGTTATTTCGTAGATGCGGGTACGCCACACTGCATCACGTCATAGACAAGTCCAAAGAGGACCGCATGGAGAGCTTCTTTCTCAGTGAGACCTGCAAATACTTGTATCTGGTACGTGTGCTGCAAAGTGAACTGTTGGGACGTTTTACGTTCCCTGCTGACAAAGCACTGACAGGACAAAAGGATGTGATTGCTGACATTATCTTTATAGTTCGATCCTCCTGGTGGAGTCGTTTATCAAGTAAACAGCAAATGAACTTCTGATTACGAATTGTTCAGGTGCTGGGAACGCCCGACCCATGGGTGACTGCAGTCTGAAAACGGAAGAGTCTAGAAATCAGGCATAGGTTAAAAAAAAACACAAACTTCCAGAGCAGTGTATGGCTAGGATTGTCCTATTTTATGCTTAGTTGTTGTTTGTCTTTTACTGACATATTAAACTCTCACAGAATGTATAGTAGAAAGGTGTAGCATATGTATTGTTCGGTAGGATATAGTCAGGCTACTTTATTCTTGTATCCAGCATTTGTCAGAAGGAACTTGCCTTCTGCCCACTGCCTCCCCCCGATGGGGCTAGGATGCGTGCATTGTCCTCCTTCCCTGCCTGCCACGTCCCTCTTAGGAGCCAGGCCTGTGTGCCACTGCGGTCCCATGCAAGAACTGTTGGTGGATGCCCTGGGAGTATGGTAATAGGCAAAACCCTCTGGCCAGCACCTCCTGTTTGGGACGTGGGTGTGTGTGAGGTGACCTGACCGGTTTTAGGGAGGTGTTTGGGAATCCTCCAGGGAGCTTTTGTAACCTTCCTTCCTTGGGTTTCTAAATCTGGTCTGGGTCAGGTATAGGGGTTGGAGATATGGCCCTGGGCGTTTACAGAAACAGATGATCCTATATTGCAACCCAAGGGTCAGGAGCCAGGGTTATTTATTCATCCATACCTTTCACCTGCTTTTGCCATCTGGTCATCTGGGACACTTCTCTATGAGCTAGCTCCAGATATTCTGTGGTCAACAACAGCCCTCCCTCTGCCCCCTCCCCACCTCTATTTTGGGGATTCAACCCGTGGCCCAGCACATGCTAGACAAGTGCTCTGCCACTGGGCTGATCCCCCGGCCCCAGTTATATCTCTGTTTTTCTTGTCCCCTTCTTCCATCCAGCTATTTGATGAGGAGAATCCAGTCCACAAGTCCGGGACGAGATACATGTTTACCACAGAAGGCCACATCATATCTGTGGACAAGCACCTTCGGGAACTGCCCTGGAAGGAGTTCTTCTCTGAAGATGGAGGGCAAGACCATGAGGGAAAGTCTGTGCCCAGGCCGAGGTCTCACGAGGTGAAAGTCATCAACTCCAGCTCCAACGTGAGTTGTTGTTTTCTGTTTTTTTTTCTAGCATTGGTATTCATGGGGACCAGGAAGCAGCGCCATCATCAGAGTCTTGGAGGGGGAGCGCTGGCTAGGCCCTGGGACTTAGCCAGCAAGGGAGCCAGCCAGCAAGGTTAACACTTGGCCCTTTCTGCTTCCTCTTCCTGGTCTGCTGCTGGCACTTGGGTGCCAGGGTTGCGATGATGTAATCCGGCAGATCACCTTCCTGAGGGCCGGAGCAGGTGGAGTATAGCAGAGAGTGGACCCGAAGGGGCCGCAGAATCACCCGCTGGAGGAGCAGGAGGCACAGTCACGTGACTGGAGATGAGGCTACCGCCCAAAGCGCAGCCCAAAGCGCAGCGGCAGTCCCGTCTCAGTTTACATATCCTGCCTGCCGTGCAGCGGGGAAGCTGTGGAACTCCATTTCCCCAGGCAGCTGGGTCGGGCCGGACAGGTGGCCATGGCTGGGAAGTGGGCCCTGGGTTGTGGAGCTCTCCAGTCTTGCCCCACAGTGCCTTGGCCGTCACCGCTTTTCTCAGGACTCAGCTTTCCCTGTCCAGGGCTGCTGCTGCACGTCCCACCCCATCGCCGGGTAGAGGCCCTCTCTCTGTGCTTCTCCTTTAGTGGGAGTCCTGAGCCACACCGAAGGCTAGAGCATAGACGGACCCCAGATTTCTACTTGGCTGTGGCTGATTGATAGGGGGAACATGGTGCCCTTGGGAAGGGAAGGGGAGGAGGAGGAGGGGAAACTGTCACAGCATTGGCAACACGCATGGAATGTTTACCCTGTGCCTGGTTCTGCTCTGAATCCTGTCTACTTCTCACAACAGCCCTGAGGGAGGCATCTACGATCTCATCTTACAGGGGAATACCGGTGGCACTGAGGGTTCAGTCACAGTGGAGCCAGGATTTGGACCCAGGATTAACCTTTGACCTGCCACAGTCACTAACAGCTAGGACCTGATTGGGAGACAGCCCTTTAAAGGGATGGAGAGCCTGGGTACAGGTGGCCCAGAGTGGGAGGGAATCCCCGATGAGCAGGTCCTCTGAGGCTGTGACCCAGGCCTTAATGAACAGCAAGAGCATGACTGTGGAGGACAAGAAGGCCTCACCTGGCGAAGGTGTTGCTGAAGTTCTGGCAGTGTTCAGGACATCTCCGATGGATGTCTCACAGCCTCCTTGGATCTCCCCACCTCTCTACCTAGAAAGCGTGGACTTTGGACCTAGCAGCGGTCCTCATTCAGGAGCGATTTTTGCTCTTCTGTGGATGTTGGACAGTAGTGTCTGGAGCTAGGTAGGGTTGCCACCCTGTGGACTGAGTGCAAGTTGAGAGGTCAAGGGCATTGCTCGGCCGGCCATCCTGCTGTGCACAGAATCTCAAAAGGTCACTTCTGCCTAGGTTGATAAACCCGGATCAGCTCATCCAACCACGTTTCTGGAGAGATCACAGTTCTGGGGCTTGAACTCAGGGCCTGGGCACTGTCCCTGAATTTTTGCTCAAGGCTAGCACTCTACCACTTGAGCCACAGCGCCACTTCTGGCCTTTTCTGTTTATATGTGGTACTAAGGAATTGAACCCAGGGCTTCATGCATACTAGGCAAGTGTTCTATCACTAAGCCATATTCCCAGCCCAACATGTAGATTCTTATTTTAATTTTAGTTTTAATTTTTTTTGGTCGGTCCTGGGGCTCAAACTCTGGGCATGAACGCTACCCTGAACTCCTTTTACTCAAGGCTAGTGCTCTTCCACTTAAGCTATAGTGATACTTCTGGCTCTTTCTGTGATTAATTGGCGATAAGAATCCCACAGACTTTTCTTCCCGGGCTGGCTTTGACCCACTATCCTCAATCTCAGCTTCTTCCCGAGTAGCTAGGATTACAGGCAGGAACCATTTGGTGCCCTGCTGGTTTTAATTATTGTTATCTTTTTAGGTCTGAGACCAGAACTCGAACTCAGTACCTGCCGTTTTCACTCATTGGCTAGTGCCCTATCAACTGAGGCATGCCTCCAACCCCGTCATGTAGATTTTTTTCATTTATTCACGTCTTCCCTCTCTTGTCTTTCTAGTGCAATCGTGTTCCGGATGAGAGGAGATACTTCCTGCCCTTGAAGAGCGTCTATATGCGTCAGATCGACCAGATGGTTGGCTTGATATGAGCCGCTCGTCCCTGCTTCATCTTCCACCAGACCTGACCAAGTGAACCCTGACCCCAGGGACACCCAGTGTGCAGTGGAGGGATGGGTGTCGCACTGCACGGCACCGTGTGGAAGTTCTGTCTGATCCATCACCCACAGCTGGTTCATGTGGTTCATTCTTGCACACTTCAGTGTTTCCCTTCTGTTCAATAAATGCCCTATTTTTTCTTAGTAATATCACTAGAAATGAGAAGATACATGAAAACTGGCTGACACACTGACACAATTCTGTTGTTAAGCACATCTGCCCAGCTTCCTGTTTGGAATTCAGAAGTCTCTACTGCGCCACTACTGGCCATTCTGCGGTATTGCTACCTCTTTGTTAGGGAATAGGAAATGAGATTCCTATCCACACGCCCGGGGCACTTGACGCCTACTTACTGCACTAAAATCGGCACCCTTTCTGCTCCTACAGCATCCTTAGGTTCTCCTTAGATGTTCGGCTGTGATTTTTTTTTTAGATCACGTGGGGAGAAAATCATGCAGTTGTCTTCTATGCCTTCAACTCATCTGCCCAGTGTTAGAGTCATTTGCTTGTGAATATGGGTGGAAGTAGAATTCTGACCAATGGTCTTTTCAGCTGTTATGTCGTGGTGTCTGTCAGCGGTTAGCCAACAGTTCTGTGGGATTGTGTTTTGCATTCATTTCACACATGAAAATTACCTGCGGAACTCCGCTAGTTCCAGAACCAGGTGCCTTCTAGGGGAGAAAAACAAAAACAAAACCCTAGGTTGTCTCAGCGTCCGTCTTTCTCTTTTTCCTAGCCGAGGATTCTAGATTCTTCCTTCTTAGCGTTTTGTTTTTGTTGCCTGTGTCTAGTGCCAATTCGCATAATCAGGGAGAAAGAAGGGATCAGACGACTTTCTGATGTCCTCGAGCCATTTCTCTGTGCACCAGGCCTCGCTTAGTGCCTTATACAGGTTTTGGTTTTGGCCATTGGTTGCCACAGGTCTTGCCGTGGTTGCAGGGGCTTTGTATTGCCCTTGAGTGGGACCAACAATGAAAGGAGGATGGGGTGGGTGTGAGGAAGGTTTTGGGAAGTAGTTGGTCCACCTTTGCCTTTCATCCTCTTCTTTTAGCCAAGCACCTAGGGGGAAGAAGCTGGGCTTCATTTCATTGCTGTTACCTTAGAACACGCCCTGAGGCTCCTCCGAGGTGGGGCTGGGTCTCCTCGGAGCCTGGCCTGGCGCACTTACCTGGCAGGAAGGTGTCTGACTGAAGGGTGGGTAGCAGTCTTGGTGAGCACCAGCCCCTGGCATCCGCTTTCGTGTATTTCTGCAGGTTTCTTTTCAGTCCTCTTAAAACTACAAAGAACCCCACCTAAGCCATTTGCGTTTTCCATCCGCAGGGAGAAATTTTATTCCTTCTTGAAAATTTTAAGTGTTGCTGTTTGGAAAATGGGTGTATCCTTCCGTTCTTCCACATTTTTAGAAAGGGGATTTTCAGTAGGAAATGTATTATCTTTCCAACATTTACTATGCAATTTGGTAGAAAAAAAAATCAAGCGCTTCCTGTTTTGCTCTTGTTTTCAGAAGCATTGTTCTGTTGATCATCAGTGTCTTGTCTACTGAATAGAGAGCTTGGAGGATTTCTGTCTATTAGATGTTTTCATCAGTCCGGTAGAATCGTGAGACACGTACCCATGACCATGCATCTCGGACATTGGCATCTTTTCTCCAGGCAAGCTGAGGTGCAACTTCGAGTGACCCACTGGGGGTTGGGGGCCATCTGGGGGAAGGACATGAGTGCCTCAGGCCTTTGTCTTGTCTGTCTGTCTGTCTGTCATCATGCCTGTAGCTTCCGTGGCAGCACCTGCTTCTCACCCGGGCCCCTCACTTGACTCTCGAGCCAGCTCAGCCATTGCTTCCTCTTCGTGCTCTTGGGATAGGGCTCTGTGCCTGGCCACACGCTCCTCCACCCATGTCATCCTCACATCTCAGGGGTACAGGCAGGGGTGCCCCCTGTCCTGTTCACTTCCGGGTACTGGACTTAGAGTTGCTGAGGGTGAGGGTGAGTGATGAGTTGCCTGGTCATCCTGGATAATGGGCTTCTCGGGTTACCCAGGCTAACGTTTGATGTTGTGTAAACTCAGTGTTTTGTGGGACCAGATGCCCAAGTACCGTTGAGGACCAGGCTCCGCCCCCCTCTGCCCCCGCCCCCCTTGCCAAAAAGAAAAAAGGCTCTTTGAGCCAGATGCAAAGCTGACTTGTTTCCACTTTGCAAGTCACACCATCAGGAACTGCTGGTCTCTGTGCCTCTTGCTGGATCTTCCATTCTGGGTTGTGAACTCTCCGCCAGGGAAGGGCGGAGCGGGAGAGGGCTCAGAGAACTTTCCCTCATTCTGTGCTGTGTCCCAGGAGTTTGGAGTTTGGGCCCAGCATCCTCCTTGGTGGAGGCCAGGAGGCCGAGCTACCCCTCCGCTCCCATGAGGACTTGTGTCTGTTGTCAACCTGTGTCTGTTGTGAGTGGGGTTTGTGAAACTGCTGTACAAAGTTAGGCTGCAGAGCCGCCTGGGCCTGGGCCTGGCTGGGACAGGGGCCGCAGTTCTCTGCGGTAGCCAGTGAGGAAAAGCAGGCTGGCCAAGCCCTGGCCGTGGTGAACACTTCCTTCCCAGCTCTTCTCCTGTTGCACAAAGAAGTACTGATGATGTCCTGAGCCTTATTATTATTATTACTTGTCCTGCATCATAGCCAGCATGTGACGCTGCTCTTGTCTTCTATGTATTTTGAGGAAATCACGCCTTGGTGGTGTGTGTGTGTGTGCACGCCGGTGAGCCTTAGCACAGCCCATCCGAACCAGGCTTGGTAAGGACAGTCACACAACCCGGGCCGTCCATTCCCTCATTCCCCTTCCCTCTTGTCGCCTGAAAAAGAGAAACATCTGCACAGCTATCTCCTTAGCTCAGTTGAGTGAATTGATTGCCAAGTGTGATTTTTCCCTTTGGGATGTTGAAGCCTGGGCCTCAAACCTTCCATTCCTGCCGAGGCTTCTCATGGGATGAGTTCACGCTGAGCGAGGCGTTAGGACGAGGGCAGAAACAGCCAAGGACTTGACAAAGGGGTCCTCCTCTTTGCTTCCCTGTTCCTGACACCCCGCTCTTGCTAGTGTCTCCCCTGCAGGGCAGGGGAGGGGGGCGGGCTAGGCCGTGGGTCCCCAGCTTTGTGGGGGTGAAGGTTAAATGCTGTCACTCAGATTTGGGTGTGAATCTGGTAAAAATGATCTAGTGCCTGTGGAACTCCCTCATGGCTTCCCCCCTGCTGTCCGAGAGGCGGAGGAATCATATTTTTAAAGGTATTTTGTTGTAGTGTTAAGTAGCAGAACACAAAGCTACATTTTTATTTATTATACACAAAAAAGAATAAATTTTTTTTAACAAAAGATCTAAAGTTGGAGACTGTGAAAACATGCTGAAATAAACAACTGCTTCTCTCTGTAATGTGCAATATGCTTTGCAAACCTAGAGGATATTTTATGTTGAATCTGTAAATAAGAAATGTATTTAAATTAAAAGGGAACTTTTCTTTTTGTAGAAGGACCAAATGTTCTTTTATAAATGTACTAAGGAATATCTTGCTCTTTGAAATTTATTAGGATTTTTATGAATAATTTTTATTAAAGAAAAATTTTTTTGGACTTGTCATTGCGTTTCTCCTTTCCATATTCCTATGTACGCATCATGTGTGAGACGGGGCGGGGGGGGGGAATCTGTGAAGTCAGATGCTAAGCCTCCCTGTGGAATTGTGCTTCTGTTTTGTGTGTCTCAGGTAGGGTGAGACCCTGTGTCAGGGCCAGCCCTAGCCCCATGGCCGTCTCTTGAGTCCTCTGCATTCAAATGCTTCTTCCTGGCCTCCTCACGTGTTGCCAATAACCCAAGCATGCCTGCCTTCTGGAACTGGTTCTTACGCTGCCTTGGGTCACCCAGCTGATACCACCTCATCTTGTGGAGGTTCAGAGGGGCTGTGGCACCCTGCCAGCAATGTGGGGCGCACTGGCTCCGGGGAGGGGTGAGGGAGTTTGTGGAGGACTAGCTGCCCTCCCAGCACCGCTTCCCGCCTTCCTGACGAGGCCCTGGCGGGGAGCTGGTCTTGGCCTCCGGGCTGCGCTGTGAACCAGGTTTGATGGGTTTGTTTAAAGACTGAGGTGCGCGGGGTGGAGGAGCCTTGGGACCAGAGGCGTTTTGCTGATGTGAAGACACTGCTGGTGCAGGTGTGCTGGGTCTGGCAAAGTCACGGTGACCTGGTGCTGGAAGGGTGCAGGTGAAGGCCATGGACACGGGCTTCCCCGCCAGGCCTCTCCTCAGTGCCATGAGCACGGGTGCCACAGGCCCGCCATTGGGAGCGGAAAGGACCATGTGGTGGAGTCTCTGGGTTGAGAGCAGGGACTCGTGGCCATAGTGTGCGCGGCACAATCTTACCCCAGCGTTGACCTGTCCAGGTGACTTGGTTAAGTGATTTATTCTTGCTGTTTAGTCAGGGCTACACTCATCTCCCAGGCTGCCCAAGTGCTGGCGCCAGGACTCCAGGTCCTATGCTACAGACCTAGTTGAGACGCCATTTTACGGCCCCCTTTTCTGTCTTTCTTAGGGTGTCTGTGAGAACTGTAGGAGATTCGTCCACCTGAAGCACTTAAGCCAGTACTCAGCACGCAGTAGGTTCTGCTCGCGCCCTGTGATCAGAGCGGATTTGCTTTCCCCAGTCGGCCCTTGCATTTGGCAATGGGGACTCAAGAGGAGGGGTTTGAGGGAGAACTGGCCACGGACAGGCCTGGAAGGGAGCCTGGTCTTGGTCCTCCATGTGTGGTGGGGGTCACACTTCCCAGGGATGACCATGCCTCGACCCCTCCCCCACCCCCCACCCCCAGGTTCCTGAGAGGAGCTAGCGGCTTTGCAGCAGCGTGCACCAGGGTAAGTCGAGGGCAGTGTGCTGCTGCGCCCCCCCCCCACACAGACCGCGGGCAGAGGGGTAAGGGTGACCCCTGTACCATAGTCGCAGGTGGGCGTCAGGCACGGGCTGCTTGCACGCCATACCAGCCCAACTCCATCTGTCTACAATGGAAAGCACTAGAAGGAAAGCAACCTTGAGCCCAGTTAGCACTTGAGCCCATTTGAACCGTGGCCTCAAGCTCTTTTATGTACCATTGTGAATAATTCAACTCTAGTTCCAGGATGGAGGGCAGGAAGCAAACACCCGCCCCAGCCTGCGGGCAGGTGAGGTTGCTCCCGGCATCAAGAGCCCATCTGTCCTGCACCAAGTCCCCAGAGCCTCAGGAAGCAAAGACTCTAGAAGCCACCCAGAATGCCTCTCTCCTCCAACCCAGTGACCTCTGGGTCAGGAAGGAGGCTGTGCCCACTTGGGAGCTTGGTCCCCAAACCCTGCCACCCCAAAGGGGAGTCTCTTACTGTGGGGTACCCTGAAGAAACTCTGCTTGGAGGAGACAAGGCTGGCTGGCTGCTTTTCAGTGAGTGAATCAAATTCTTAAAGCAAATGGCCCAATTATTTGAAAAGTGTAACTGCTAAAAAAAAAGGGGGGGGTGGGTTTAAGAAAGGGAATCTCTAATTCTAGCTACACAGGAGGCTGAGATCTGAGGATCACGGTTCGAAGCCCACCCCAGGCAGGAACTGTGTGACTCTTATCTCCAATGAACCACCAAAAACAGCCAGAAGTAGAGCTGTGGCTCAAGTGGTAGAGTACCAGCCTTGTGTGAAAAAGCTATGTCCTGTGTTCAAGCCCCAGTACCCCAGTACTGGCACACACCCACAAAAGCAATCCAAGCTAAACTCATTGCATACAGACACAATCACATCTGTGAAATGCCAAAGAAACCCAAAGGATGATTATCAAAAGTTAGCTTAGGGATGTAGGAATTAGAATTGGTTGCCTTGGCATTGAATTTATTTAAAAATAACATTTAATTACTTATTTCAGTCTCCTGCATGATGTTTCTATCTGCCATGCACTGTTTAGGCTTCTGGGTAAACATGGAAGCCAAACTCAAGTCCCAGCCCTGAGTGAGCTGTCAGACTGCACCCCCAAACAATACAGATGGGACTGAAGTCAGTACCCCCAAGCAATACTGATATAAACGAAGTCAGACAGCACCCTCAAACAATACTGATATGAGTGAAGTCATAGGCACCCCTGAACAATACAGATGTGAGCAAAGTCAGGCTGCACCCTCAAATAATACAGATGTGAAGGATATCTAGTGTTAGGTTATGAAATCTATTAGAAGTCAGTGGATCATTCCTGTAATCTTAGCTACTCAGGTAGTTGAGATCCGAGGCTTGAGATTTGAAGCTAGCCTGGACAGGAAAGTCTGAGACTCTTATCTCCAATGAACCAGCAAAAGGCTGGAATTGGAAGCATGCTCAAGTGGTAAAGGACCAGCCTTGAGTGAAAAAGCTAAGTGAGAGCCTGAGGCCTTGAATTCAAGCTCTGGTCCTGGCACATGCGCATGTGTGTGGGCACGTACACACACACACGTACACACACCAAACAA